ATTTCTTTTGTCTCCTAATTGTCTTTTTATTTATATTAAATTCTTTTTATAATTTATTAAGTGAATCTCGTTTTTAATAATAAGGATTCCTCTGTCTCCTTTTTGGACATAAACCTCTGGTGTTTGTGGATTAATTTTCCTGACAAAATGAATACGGCCTAAAAGCTTAACAGAGCTCAAATTTAACAGGCCTTAACTTATACCTTGACCTTGGTACCTTCAACTTCACAGTTCAGCAAAAGAGCAGCATTTAACAGTATTTAATCTCTTATAACCTGTGACTTCATGATTTAACAGAGGAATAACACTTAACATTATTAAACTTAGCTTATAACTTGTATTAAACACAACAACCTAGCAAAAGAGCAACTCTTAACAGCATTTAACTTATTTTATACCTCGTGATTTAACCTTACTTACAGGCCTGACTGACTCAGATCTCCAAGGCGCTCCAACCCCTCTGAGAGCAGCATTTCTGCCACATTTGCCAGGGCACAGCACTGGTGTGTGCACACAGACACAAAGAGGCAGTGCAAGGCAGCTGTGAGAAATTCTCCTGCAGGGCAGGGAAATGCTCCCTGTGGATGCTTTGGCATCTCCTCAGTGGGTGAAGGGCTGAGCCTGGAGGAGTGGGGGGATCGGCCCAGGCTCCATCGTTGTTCGGGGATGCCCCGAGTGCAGCAAACGGGAGAGTTCCCGGCTCGCAGAGGCCCCACTCAGAGGGAGGTGGCTGGCCCAGGAGAGCTGCAAGGGGCTCCTTTTGGAGCACTGTTTGTAGGGCCCCAAGAGAGGGGCTTCAGGCACAGCAATGTTTTGTGTGACGTCACTGGGGAGGATAGGCCGGGGTGTAGTGTAAGGTACAATTTTATTTTATTTTTTTTTCCTTTTCCTTTTTTTCCTGTGCCTTGCCTTGTGGGCCCTTTTTTTTTTTTTTTTTTCTTTTGTGCCTTTAATGGGAGAGTGTTTGGGTTTAGTACTGTAATACATGTTGGTATAATTCGTGGTTTATTGTACACATATAAAATCAAGTATAAAAGCATGTTTTATGTAAAAAACAAACCAACACAAGCAGCTTGAGATTGCAAAAGCAGCTGCTGGAAAACCAGGAATTTGTAAGAGAACGCCCCAGCAATCAAGATAACACCAGAAGAGGTGGGTCCACCCAAGCAAGATAAGGCGTACTAATGACCTACTGACCTGATCTGATTCTCCGAAACATGCATCTCAATACTCAGTTCCCCTAGCTCTCCCCCTCCCTCGGAACTTTGTTAACTATCCAACAGACCTCCCTTCTTGGAAACTTAGTTAAAAAACCAACAGAAAATATGAATATGCAACAAACTCTAGAAGAAAGAAAAAAACTAAGAAGACTGAACAGCCTCAGGCTGTAAAAACTGTATAAAAACTCATCTCTCCAAAAGACAAGCGGTGAACTTGGGGGAATCAGAGTGATAAAGGCTGATTCAGAGTTCACCCAGAGCTGATCCCAGGTTTGACGCTAACTGTGATTGTGGTTGTTTCCAAAATTAGATTTTTGCAAATTTTTCAATAAAATTCTTATTGATAAATTTGGCTGTATTTAATTTATAACAGTACTTCTTCCTTTTGTTTCTTTCTTTCATGGAATTTTGTCCCATCTGTTGCTAAGAAAATATAATGACAGGTACTTGAGAGACGAAAGAAGTTGCCAGGCTCAGGGGAGGAGGGCACCTGGTTGCACTTGTCTTACCTGAGGGTTTCTCTCAGAGGGCCAGAGATACCGAGGGAACTGGGCTGGGGAAAATGGGGCTGGGTGCAGCTCCTAGCTATCTTGCTTTCTCGGGTGTCAGAGGGGAAAGAGACTGTAGTTGCTGTGGGAAGAATTTGCCACCACTGCCGGGTTCTGTCTCCTGCTGCTTTCTACCGTGAGTGGAGCTCTACTGGTGGCCAATGCACTGGGACCTTATTAGCACCCTTCCTCACCAAACAAAGGACCCTTCACCATCTGCTCGGGTGCCTCAGGGGAAATCCTGGCATCCCTGAGCCCCTTCCCCCTCCAAGGGAGCCTCTCCCAGCCCTGTTCGGGAGCTGGCCTGCTGCTGCCCAGCCCCCGCTGTGCCACCGCTACTGATCCGGGGATTTTTTTGCAAGACTGTAACCCCACACCCCCTTGCCTGCTGGGACACCCCACTGCTCCTGCTACAGCTGTTGAGTTTCTGCTGCCTCTTGCTGGCTATCCCCGGTGAGTTTGTTCCTGCCATTTCAGCTAGCTGCTTCTGAGGTTCCTGCTGGGACACCAGGATCCGCTGCCCTGGGAGGTTTGTGGAGCAAACCCTTTTTCAATCCCTTCCGCCGGCGTCCACCATTACCACGTGAAAAGAGACGACCGAGCTGGTGCCACAGCGCCCCCTGCAGCCGCAGGGCCATCATCGCACCAGCCCTGCCTGGCCGGGAGCCAGCAGCGCCCCTGCTGGCTGTGCCCGGAACTGCACCAAAGGGGAAAGTGCCGGTGGCCGAGAGAAGGCTGGGATGGGTCTTCTGCTTCTGTTCATTGTTAATGCTGTTGTTGTTTGTTTGTTTGTCTTGCTCTACATACTAGTAAAGAACTGCTATTCCTTTTCCCATGCCATTGCCTGAAAGCCTCTTAATTTCAAAGTTATAATAATTCAGAGGGAAGGAGGTGATAATCTCCATTCTAAGGGATGTTCCTGCCTTCCTTGGTAGACACCTGTCTTTCAAACCAAGACAAGGTGAAAGCTCTGGCTGACAAAAAGTGTGTCAAGAAGTGCTCCAAAAGGACAGGAGCCACACAGTCCTCCTCATTTCCTTGCTAAGAAGCAACTCTGGGCACTGAGGACCTCTCAGGGACAATGAACACCTCCAAAACTGCATGCACACACCCCTCAGCATTTTCCATCCAAACCAGATCAATTTTATTTTATACCTCTGCAGAGCTGTGCACACAGGACATCCCCTCCATTTCCACAGCATTTTAGTCCATAGCAATTATCAAGAATTGGTGAATTTCCCAGACCCACTTGGTTTCTCCCAGAGTGACCTTCACTGCCACACTGTCTTTACTTTCCTGCAGACAAGAATGTCAGTCATCTGCTGTTCCTGCTGCTCTCAGAAGCATATGCAAAGGGAATGTGGCAGAGAGCTTGAAGGAAAAATCCAGCTTCATCAGCAGAAGTGAGCTGGCATGAAGAACCCAGCTGACTGCTCTGGGAGGAATTTCAAAAATGGAGTGCATAAAGAAGGGATTAAGCTAGCCATAGGAGGGGGAGGGGACTGTTCTGCAAAATTAAACTTGTGTCCTTAGTATTTCTGCTGTAAGAAACACCTGAAAGTGAAGAGTTAAGGGAACACCTGAGGCATCAAGGGGCTTAACTGCAGGACAGAGATGTCATGACAGGGCTACAGCCACGGGACAGTTTCTTGATGGCAGCTGGAACGACCTTCAAGATGTGTCAGAGAGACCCCTGTGCGATACCAGGGAAGAACACCCAGGGGAACACCATGTGGTGCAGAGCTGTGAGGAAATCTCCACCTCTGATTTTAAGAGCTCAACAGGAAAATGCCCTGAACCACCTGCTACAGCTTTGGAGCATACCCCACTTTGAGCCAGAAGTTTGGATCCCCTCTGGAGGCATTCTGGGCCTATGGGTTTTAGCGGTGTTACTAAAACCTGACATTACACACAGATTTGCTTAACAAATTTACAGAAAGAAAATCAAGAAAAAGAAAAAAGCAGCTGCAAAGAATTGCCTGAAAGTGTTCGAGAATGAAAAATGTTTTATTGGCACTTAAAAGTTCTTGGCTTGCTCTTCCTAGCAAAAAACCTTGGTAGAAAATGAAAAAAAATAAAGGCATTAAAAAATGAGTTAAAACTGGAAATGAGAAGTTCCACAGAACAGAGGAGGAAATCCCCCCAAACTTCTAAACAATTGCACTTTCCTAACGTGAGAGAAGTAGGGAATCAAACTGTTCCAGGAAGCTCAAGAACTGTGTAAGACCTGCTAGCCCCATACTGGTGCCCTGTGGCACCAGTAAAATGTTACTTTTTTATTTAAAATATTTTTAAATTTTTTAAAAAATACTTTTTTTTATTTAAAATGTTACTATTTTATTTAATTAAAAAATTAAAATTAAAGTAAAGTAAAATTAAAGCCTGTGTGCAGCAGCAGTTCTGAACTGCAATATAACAAAATTTCCTCCTCTAGAATGTCTGCTGGCTCCTGCGAAGGACAGGCTTCTTTCACCTTAATAAAAAAATGTATCTTCTCCAGATTATTTTCATCAGAAATTGCAGTGTATCATCACAACTAACAAACCTGCAATATGCGTGAGGAAATGGAGACTGGTGGAGCCTGCTCCTTTCTTTAAGGAACGCTGCCCCTCTGTGCAGGAAGGTGTATGAGGATGGGGGACTACTGCTTACCTTCATTTATTGTGGGATGTCATGCCCAGATTCTGGATGGAAGCAGGCAGTCTCACCATGTGCTGTGACAAGCACCTGGAATTCAGGTAATAAGCAAAAGCCTTCCCCCTCTTCTGTGGTATGTAGAAACTTTGAAGTTCTTCAGGACTATAAACAATTAGTGACAAAGATTTTCTGTGCAGCAGATATTTAATTTGGAAGGGTTTTCTGCAAAGCATCTATTACATATCCATCCCCAAGGGTCCATTCCACCTGACATCCCTGATAGTGGGTACCTCCTGCTCACACCATGTTTCTCCAACCATGTGGCTTGCAGGGTACTCCAGTTTCCGAGTATGAGTCCACAGACACTTTGTCCTAGTGGGCCTGAGAAGCTGGCTGGCCAGCTGACAAACTCTGACCAAGTCCTCTTGGCCACAAGTGGCCTACCAGGAGCTGGCTGCAGCTGAAGGATAAGGGGCAGGTGATTTCCTTGCTGCAGACACAGGCCCAGATGTGGTGCAGTGTGGGGCCCCGAAGGCTTCAAATAGCCTCTCTCTAATAATTAGAAATCTCTAATTATAAAATTACCTGGTAGAGGCAATTGATAAAAACAACACAAACCTGAGGGGGTGACTATAGAACAGGGGTCACTTTATTGTCAGGCAGTCAAGAAGTTCTTCTGACACTGTAATTATGTCTCAAAGAAACAGCAGCTGAAGTCAGTGATTAAGTGACTGCAAGCAGAGAATGTGAACTCCAGCATTCTTTTCTCTGATGCTCACAGCCCACTGCAAGCAGATCAGAAGGTAGATCCTCTTCTGTAAGAACCCTCAGCCTCTCAGCTGTTACCATGGTGGCGGTTTCACCTACTTGCAGAGACCTCCTGTTCAGGAAGCTCATAGCAGGTGCCAGTGCCAAATTTCTGAGACCCACCGAGGTTCCATCCCCTCACACTCATACACGGACATCTCCTGTCCCTAACTCCAATTCATGGTTTGGCTTTCTCTAGCCCAAGTTCAGTATCTTCCACAAAAATCCCTGACCACCTCTGCCACAACTCAAGGGATACTTTTAAGTTTCTGCTAGGTTCTTACTAAAGAACCAGTAAGCTAAGCAGGGTGCTCTGAGCTCCCAGGCTTAGCATATGAATATTCTAGCGTAGCAAAAAGGGTACTCACACTTCTACATCACTAAAAACACCCATCATATCAGGCACAGTTCCCATTTCTTTTAAAAATAAATATTTATAAACAAAAGGAAGAGATTCGGAGAACTACAAAGTTAAAAATTTTCCTGCAAACAGCACAAATGTTTCTCATGTACAGTCACAGGAACAAGTTGTACATCAACATGAGCGCTGTCTAAAAAACTCTCTCCTCATCAGCTGCCCCAGTCCACCTGCACAGAGATCCACATCTCCCATTGTAGCAGCCATCTCTTCTGCACTTCTCCAGGACTTGTACTGGAGCTGTTCAGTCTCCTTTCATGATCAAGTCCTCGATATATGCATCCAGTTCATCATCTGTATTAATATCAATGTCCTGAAACCAAAGTAACAAGGAATACCAGTGAGAAGTGAATCCTGAAGAAAAGTGCAAGAAAAGAGGAGCCAGAGCAGCTTAGCATCCTTTGTTACATCTGGCCTGCTCAGCCTCTATGCCCCAACCTCCAGCACTCTCTACCTGCTGACAGCTGCACTGACAGCACCCCCAGCTTTCCCTGTCAGCATCTGAAAGACAACACTGGCAACCCATCAGCACCTGATGCTCAAACAATGCACTCAAGTGATGGATTTACTGTACTGATTTCAGTTGAGGCAGGTTCAGTTTGGGTTCTTTTAGATTTAACACATTTTCCTAAAACGGAGCAACTGCTTCCAGATGCTTTCAGTAGCCTTTCCAGGTAGATCCTGATTTTATGAAAGTAGTTTTTATATTTAAAGTTAGTTTATTTATTAAAACATTTTAATTATATATTTCATATTTTAATTTAATAGTTTAACTAATATATCAATTTCACTACAAGACTTTTTACTATTGTTTGTTTAAAGGTTTGCATTTCTCTATGTGGAGTTCAGAATCTGCAAAAATGGGGCAAAAATGCCCTGCTAAGCACTGCCTATGCCTGGGGAAATTCTCAAGCATCCTCATGGCAGAGAACAAACAGAACCTGTGCATTATGTACACACCATGAGAAATCATTCTGTAAGAATTAACATACATCAGGACTCCCACCCAGGGCCTGGTTCCCAAAAGTGGGCAGTGACAGCCCAAGCTGTTCCCAACTGAGGAAGCTGGAGCCCAGTGAGATACTGGACTGAAATACTTGTAATGCCTGGAGGGGATGAGCCAGGTGGCTACTCTGAGGCAGTTCAGGGTTTGCTACTCCTCCCCACCCACCTCCTGCACTTTCTGCAAAAGGGCCATGATATTAGTCCTAAGCTTCTGCAGTTTCTCCTCCGTTTCCTTCAGCTTCCTCTCTGAGTTCCGGAGGTTTTCCTCACAGGCTTTGGCCCGAGCATCGGCACGTGTCTGATATGAATTGCACAGGTTCTGCAGACCAATCTCATACTGCTTAAAATATTCTTTCTGTAGTAGACAAAACACAACAGATGACAAATTAAGAGAAAGCACCAAGCATCACAAAGACATGAGCACTCACAGGCTGTAAGACAATCTAAACTCCTGGCCTTCATGATCAAGTCCTCCCTGCAGCGTGCTCCTCCCCAAGCTCATATTTATATCTGATTTGCCTACAGCAGCCAGTACAGATTTCACACAGCTTTTCACATTCTTTCAATACCAGAACTACCCCCAAAGCTGCTTGAATTTAGATTAAGGGTTCAGTGTACTTTAAAAACCCTGAATCCACACACATGCTGCAGGCCTGACATCCCCTGTACACTGTATCCTTAGTACAGACCCAGACAACACAGCCTCTCACTGCAAGGTAGGGACAGCTACACTCACCAAAAACCCCAGACACAACCAAGATGTCCTGTGGAAGGAGCAGGAGTGGTAACTCCAGCAAATGCCAGCAGATGCCTGAGTTAACAGAAGGGGAGGAGACAAAAGAGAGACTGCCAATACACACACTGAGAGCGTGGGAGTAAAAAACAGAACTGGATTTGGTCATGTGGTCATCTGCAGGCAGCTTTTTACATGTGCCTCCTGGAAAGGTCTCTCTTGGTGGTATGTTGAAGAAGAAAGTCAGAGAGGCCAGTTCCCTTGCCCTGCATTCCAGCCAGCACTGGGCCTCCCAGTACCAGGCTGCTGGTGGAAGCTCAGTCCCACCCGTCCTGTGCTCAAATAAACAGAGGTCAAAAGTCTTAAGGTGTGCAGCTGACTCACTGGCAACCTGCTCTCCTGGGGAAGTGGGAAGGGAAGGGGTTGGCTTCCATGTTCTCTCACACTGAAGTAAATGGCCTATATAGGAATTGAATCCACACTCAACGTTGTGGGTTCAATCCTTGTATGGTCCATTTACCTAAGAGCTGGACTTGATGATCCTTGTGGCTCAGAATATTCTGTGAATCTGGGGATAATTATTTGTTGTATTATTTATAATTTTTAAGATCGTCTCCTGATAAGTTATAAGGCTGGGAGCAAAACAAGGAGGTTTTTGTTTCTACAAATCTCTAACCTGCTCTGTCTTTTACAGAAGTTTAACAGCAATGGTTAAGAATTTAAGATAGCAGCAGCCAATAGCATTCCCACACAAATGCAAGCTAATTAGAAAAATCCTTAGACAACTGTTAAAAGACTGAAGGCATCTCTCAAAGCTCTCATTCTTTCTGTCAGCTATGTTAGTCTGCTGAAGATCCAAATTATCTTTTCAAGAGTGTACTCTTGCATCAGCAAGATGCACATTTGCCATACAAATGGAATATGTGTGGGTAAAACACAAACTTACTTTTCTAGAAGTACTGAACTCACCAAGGGAAACGCCAACAACCCTTCTGAGCTCATGGAACTCAGCTCATTCTTGGAGATTGGAAAATTTGGAGGCAAGAAGTATCGCAAACAATTCCTGTGCAGGAAAACAAAACACAAAGCCAGAGTTGGGAGTTTAACAGACTGAAGCAATCAGATTGCAGAGTTCACAAGGTCTGCGGTGAACTCACCGAAGGATCTGGACAAGCAAGTCAACTGTTTCTTGGCTGCTGCTGGGACCAGTGGTGTCAGGCTCAATTCTGACGCAGTCTGAGGTAGAAGGTTCAGCCATGACCACTTCCTCTTCCTGTTGTGTGTCTGGAGCCTGGTACTCAGGAGAGGGAGGCTTCATAAGCCTTACATCCTCACTGCCTTTCTCTACCCTGAGAAGAAGTATTAAGGGAATATCAGGAATCTTTTTCTACATTGGATTTACCCAAAACACGCTTAACAGTTTCATCAGAAGCTGTACCCAAGTGTCACTTAGACCTCTAGACACTGCCTAGAACTAGAACAGCTGCCTCCAGGGCAGGCATCAGAGTGACAGACAGATGGAGTCTGTCATGCCCATTACTTATGAAGCCCTGGATAGTCCTGACCTCACAGGTTTCCTGCCATGACAGCAGCATATTTGTCTTCAGCATCTATGGCAACAAAACAGGCCCTTCCTCCCAAAAACAAAACAAGCCTCCAAAATCCAGTAGCTTGAGATAGTTACCAGCGATCCCTTGGTGTGGTGTCTGTAGGGACATAGTCAAACTTCACCTTCCACCGGATTGCGTGCCTGACCTTTTCAACAGCTGTGACACGGCCTGTGAACCATTCCTTGTTCACACGCACCTCCACGTGCAGCCCCTTATCTGTGAGGGGGAAGCAAAGGTGTTTGCAAACATTCAGATGCTGGAGAGCACATTCTACAGGTGCTCTAGAGATTTAGGCACCTCAGCAGGGAGGACAGCTGTGACAATGCCCTCAAACAGTATGGACACCATCAAAACACAATCGGCATACAGGTCAGCTCCTGCTGAGAAACATGAAGATGCATGGAAATGAGCTGGCAATTCCAGATGGAAGGTTTCTCCTGTACTCCAAGCTGTTTGACATGGACTTTACAGTCTCATGATGGGCTCTAGGAGAATTTACCACACGTTGGTTCTTGTGGGTCACTTTCTGGACATCTCCCTGGAAGCATGCTGAAAAGATGCCCTGCTCTGGCAGATGGTGCAGTATCACCCTGGCAATCACCCTTCCTCGGGTCTCCCAGCCCCTCTTCTTTCACAGCAGTGCAGTCAATCTGGATACAGCCCTGAGCATTTTCCAGCTGGCATGGCTGAATGATCCACTCAGGAAGAGTGAACATGCCATCAGCTACACCCTGCAGCCCAGCCCCACCCCCGTCAACGCGATGTAGCCATCAATCACAGACCTTTCCATGCTACAGCTGCCTCTGGTCTAATCAAAGGGTTCCCCACCAAAATGTTTCATGCAAGTTAGAGCAATCTTGGGGTTTGGAATTCAAATTTACACTATTTCTTATTTTAAAATCTCATTAAAGAAATCACACGTTTAACTGGTGCAACAGCTCTTTTCTATGTCAGATACTAGTGGCAGCCCAAGGGATCATTTCTCACCTTTCTGTGCTTTCTTCAGTTCCAACAACTCTTCCTCTCCAGCACTGTCTGTGAGCTGAGAGCAGAGAGCTCACATTAGTTATCTCCCATCAAGATTATAAACACCTGATAAGTACCTTCTGCTGGGGAAACTAGCACATTCTTACCTCCACTACCACCTCACTGGAATCATTCTCTTCTTTCACTGCCAAAAATTTTCCTCGTTTTGTCCTCTCCTTTTTGGGTTCCCCCTCCTCCTCAGACCCATCCTCTGGGATGTTCAAGGCCCTCTTTCGAGTGCTGGAGGCCTGAAAGACACAAACAAGCTCTAGCTATTAATTCCAGCCTGCTTCCAACCAAAACCTTCTGGTAGCCAAATTTAAAAAAAAAAAAAAAAAGCTCAACATCCAGTATTTAATTTGGTAGTTAGTTTTTCTGGAAGGTTTTAGAGGTGCTACATCATCATGCAAATGCTCACCCCACCACGTACGGTTTTTTTTTCCTGGGGAAACAATCTGCTCTAACAGGAAAGAGATGAAACCAGTCTTCTCAAGGGGTGTAAATGGCACCCTAAACCAAGAGTAAAGTAAAAGTTCTCTTGGCCTGTGCAGTGCCCACAGTGCACATACCACAGGAAAGAGCAGACAAGCTTAGAGTGACAGTGGGTGAGGAGCTGAGGGGTTTCATCCCACTGATTCTTACCTGTAAACATCTGCCAGAGGCAGATTTCCTTACTGCTGACACCTTGGCAGCTTTTGGATTGGGTGTCTCACGTGGGCTTTTGGGGCTCTGCAGGCCAGAGAGAGGCTTCATGCTTGTACATGATTTGGCAAGAGTTTTTAAAGTGCTGTTAGACTTCCCAGATGTCACAGTGTGATGGTATGTCCTGGAAGTGCTGGCCTCCTCCTTGAAGAGCATGCTGGCTAGCTTGGGAGAGCTGGTATTTGGATGATCTGAAGAGCTCTTTTTCAGCTGACTGCAGTACTTGGGAGGAGGTGAAGATCCTGGTGGTCTGCTGGGAGCATTCTTTATGACATCAGGCAAAGGAGGAGATCGTGGGCGCTGAGCTCGGGTGTGCTGAAACAAAGGAGAGCAGAAAGGAAGGGTAGAAGAATGGGGAACTGCTGTTCAGAACAGTTAAGGAAGCATAAAGGAGTAAAAGCCTACAGTAGGATCCCATTTACCTCCCTTGAAGGCCGTGTAGTCACTTCCAGAGGCAGTTTCTTTAAGTCAGACTGAGAGCGAATTGAAGTGGTTTTCTACCAAAAAAAAAAAAAAAAAACCAACAAAAAAAAACCAAACAAAAAAAACACAAACAAAAACGAGAAAGGTCATGTTTACAAGCTGTCAGGGGCTACCTGAACCCATCCCAGAAGTTTTCCAGGCTAAAACCAAGAATTTTATGGTGTATGTTGTGTCCTTCAAGAGAAATCCCTTCAGCTGTTATTCCCATTTTCACAACAGAAGATTAAATACAAGCTGAGATAGTCAATTTCTGTTATTAGAACAGTCCCAGCCCCACAAAGGAACACAGGTGGTTTTGGACTCAGCAGCAGCCCTTTGCACAAGGAGGTCCATCGCACCTGCTCTGTTTAGCTGGAGACCCCCAGACTCACCTGCAGAGCTTCCAGCTTTTCCTGCTGCTGGTGGATTTTCTCTGTCAGTTGCTTCTGCTTTTCCTTATTTGTTTTCAAATCTTTTTTTAGAGTTCCCAGTGGTACCTTCTGCTTCTGCTCTGCAGCCTCACATCTAGCATGGAGGGAATGCAAGACAACCTCAGCAAGGACAGCAGAACCTGTATCATCTCACACAGAATTATCCCAACATCCCATTCCAAATGCATCAGGAAAGCCACTTGCCTTTCTGCAGTAGCTACAATCTCAAAAGCAGTGTTTTTCATCTTGAAAAACAGATATTAATTAAGGATCAAAAGCATAGTTGTTAATAAAAAGGCATTTATGCTGGGAATCACCAATTCCGAGCCCAGGAACTGTGACACAGCTGTGACAGCTTCTGTACTGCACCCATACTCCACTTTTTCAACTATTTTCCTTCCAATCAGCTTATTTCTTCATATCAATTCTTTCTACAGACTTCTTTCTCTTCAGAAAGGAAAGCACAGTACCAGAAACCCATGACTAAGACATTACCACAAGCCTTCCAGCCTCAGATGCCTTCTGTCTTGCCACTCAAGGCCTGGCAGTGTCCTTTGCAACACCCTGTAGCTATCTGCTTTTTCCATCCTGTTCAGCCTACGGCCTACAACAGTGGTGAGTATCCTACTCTCCCAGGTCCTCTCAGGTGCAGAATCCTGGAAGAGTCCTTGAGAGAGAAGCAAAACAGGTAGGAAATACTCTCTCAAATGGATTGGCATCACCTTCAAAGTGCTGGCTAAGCAGCTGGCCCTCAGGAGCACTGCCAGAGGAGAAGGAGGGCAGGACCTCTCAGCCCAGGCTCATCTCCTATCACCAGAGTCATGGAAAGACAGACCAAGATCAGCCCTGCTGGGGTAAAATCATGCAGGAATGGTTTGAGCCAGGAAAGCAGCAGATAGCCCTTTGACAACACAAGAGATCCAGCAGATCTCACTCTGCACTGGAGCCAAACTGGTAACCTGCAGATGTCTTATTAGTAAACAGAGAACCCTGCTCTCACTGTAGAACACTCAAGAGCTCCAAGAAACTGAGGAGAGATGATTTTATCAAGATCTCTATCTACCAGATACACACTGATCAACTTTGTGAGTGAGATGGAGCACAAACAGCAGTTCCTGCATCAGCCTCTTCCCAGCTGAAGCACTGCTGGGGTGTTTTCCTTGGCTAAGGAAGTGTGTGTCATCACAACAAAATTACTGCCTGACACAAAACCTGCAGTTCCCAAAGGTAAAGTTGAACAAGTGGTACCACACACAGTCTCCCAGCACAGAAATGCATCTTCCAGGTCATGGTAAGGCTGGAAGCATTGCCAAGCTGTGTCTTATAGCACAGTAAAGAAAGAAAGCACCTTGAATTCTGCACAAGAAAAATTCAGACTCTTCATGGCATCCAAATACAGAGATTGCATCACTGGAGGCAGCAAATCAGAAAAAAGGAATTTTCTTGGTAGTCAGAATGGACTAAAACCAAGACTCTGATGGTGCTCAAGGAGCTTTGAGACAACAAACATCTTCAGCTGGTGTTTCAGCCACTGTTGGCAGTTATTCGTCCTTCCTTTTGTTCTGTCTCACCAATGGAATTTTAACCCATTAGTGTCAGGGAAAACCTGATTGCTGGTACTTAGTGGGTGCTTGAAAAACACAGAGTTCGGCTGGGCCTAAGTGGGGAGAGAGGCAGGAAAAAGGGAGGGCAGGGGCAGCTGGGGGCTGGCTGGTTTCTTCAGCTTCAGAGCAGGACACTCACTAGGAGCTGCTGCGGTGGGGAGAAGGGAATTCACCATCACCCAGATGGAGCTGCTGCTTCTTCTCCTTCCCTCTTCGTTGGTGGCCTCGCATCCCCTGTCCTGCCGGGACTTGTGGCAGTGCCAGGCACTGCCACGGAGCTGCTGATCCACCTCAGCCACCGGCCCAGGATCTCAGCTCATCCCTGCTGTTCCAGCTGAGTGTTCCTCAGAGCCCTGCAGGAGCACCAGGACTGACCGCCCTAGAGCTGTGGGTTGTCTCTAGTTGGAAAGTACCTGGGAAGAGCAAGGATTCCAAACCAATCAAAACAGAGAGATGTCCAGTGTGAGACATAGAGGTCTGTAGTTTTTGTGTGCTGTGTGTAACCACAGAAGGAGGTCTGTACACCTCACCCCTGGGACTGCAGGCCTCAGGGCCCATCTATCCCAGTGCAAGTAATCAGAGGCATGGGATCTGGAGGCCAGGTATGGACATGAGTATTTCCACTAGTGGCCCCTCATCCTGACAAGCCAAGAGGGAAAAGGATGAAGCTGCTGGTGCAGTCTGTGGGAATGCTGGACATGCCCACCTGTGCTATCTGTGGGGCTAGATGTGTGTACATACATGGTCTGTCTGTGTTTGTGTGTATCCACAAGCAACATCTTCTGAGCCTCGCTACTGCTTCCACCTGAAGGGCTGAGGATGTGGCAGCCCCTTCTTAGGTTCCAGGCTCAGCCCTGCCCCAGCATTTTGTCCAGGAACATCCTCAGCACTACTGCACTCCTCAGAGCTCTACATACACATGGAGCAAACAGGGAAGTGTCAGCACAGGTATTCTTCCACTGGGAGCTACCAAAAGGAAGAAGCCAGAAAGCCAGTGCTTCGAAATAGCATGAATATTCTGTAAAATTTTCAGCCACAGATGTTAAATTTTTTATTCCAATCAAAAGTTACTGCCTGGATTCATCCCTTTGTCTTTAAGCGCTGAGCCAAGGGACCTGAGTTAGAGTAGAGCAGATTTCCTTCCTTACACAATACAGACATGAACTGGCTTCCAGCAGTTCTGCTCTCCACAGAGAAGCAGCCTAGAGCAAACACTTTTCTCACTCAAATAAATTACTAGATTCTACCTACATTTTGTAACTGTAACACATATCACTGGAAAAAGAACCATTGTGCTGCTCCTTCAAGCATGCAAAATGTCCCTCCTAGGCTCACCTCAATCAAGTGGAATTGCTGCAGTTTGGTATCTGATGGGTGGGAGCAGTAGGAGCAATAAAGACAGCTGCAAAGTCCCCTGTACTCACGTAAGTCCCAGCCTGCACCATTGTTGGGAAGGATGAGAATTTAACAGAAAAGTTTTATGGATATGAATGCTTAGCAGAAGGTTCTCTAGAAATGAAAGCAAGCTTTGATATATAAAAAGATGTTTTTAGGGATAGTTGTTGCTGAGACAGCTGAGAGAACAAAGGTTTAGTCAAGTTCGAGGGTTTAGAGCAAAGGTTTAGTCAGTTAGAAGGAAGTTTTATGGCTAAAAGTCCAATAGGTTAAGTGGTCTTCAAACAAAGCATGTTTGCTACCAAGTAAAAAAGCATAGGCAGACAGAAAGATGTTTTTTAACAAAGCAAAAAGAATTTTCCACTGCAAAACAAGTTTCAAAGTTTAACATGTAATTGCTAACTCAGATGATTAGTTAGTCACTAACATAGTATGGTAATTCTAGCAGTTTTGATAGGATATATGTAAATGTAAAGGTATTGTGTATGATGCTGATTGGTTATGTGGTTATATGCACAGCAAAAGAAAGAGATATAATGCATGGTAATCAGAACCAAAAAGGCTTCAGGACACAGGGCTTGCCTATAGCCAGCAGCTATAGGCCGACCCATGGCCCCCTGCTGTAACCTAATCTACAGAATAAACAGCATTATAAAGAAAAGCCACCTGAAGTCCCCATCTCTCCGTTGGCTCTTACACACCATGACAGTTCTTCAACTGCCATCTATTCTGCCCATGGCAAAATTAATATCATCTAAACCTACAATAGTGTTTCCGGTGCTGGTGCAGAAGGATCCAAATTTCATCATATCACTGGTTGATGGGCTAGAGGCAGCTCTGGGGAGCTCTCCTCCCCCCCAGCACCAGGAGCCCAGGACCACATCCTGGAATATCTCCAAGGATTGAGACTGCACAATCTCCCTGAGCAACCTGGGCCAGGATTTGGTCACCCTCACAGGGAAAAAAGTGTTTCTGACACGCAGAGGGACACTCCAGCATTCCAGCTTGTGCCCATGGTATCTGGTCCTGCCACTGGGCACCACTGGGAATAGCCAGGCTCTGTCCTATTTGCAGCCTGCCTTTAGATGTTAGTATACATTGATGAGAAGACCCTGAGCCTGTTCAGCTCTGGGATGGACAGCACACACCAGTGCTGGGGCTGTCCTCCCCAAGGATAGGACTTTGCATTCTCCTGGTTGAATGTCAGGATAGGTTTCTGCTGGCCCATTTCTCCAACCTGCAGGTCCCTCTGGATGGATCTGTGACTGCCTGGTTTGTCAGCTACTCCTCCCAGTTTGGTGTCACCTGTCACTTGCTGAGGATGTCCTCTGCAATCAGCACATCGCAAATGCCCATCCAGCATTCAGCTTCCTATACAATTGCCATTGCTGCTTTTTCACAGACTGTGAGCACAACTTAAAGGTACAGAATCCCTCCAGCTGTTTTCAAAGAACAGATGACCAAAAAAAAAGATCCAAATGTGCAGATATGGCACCCTGCAGAAAAGTTTTAATATTAACTGATTCTTACCTGTCTTGTTCAGGATCAGGGTTCATGGAGCACACCCAGCTGTCAGGGTAGTTCTTCTCCACTGAGCTCAGCTGGAACGGGAGAGTCCGCCACTTCAGACAGACATCTGTCAGACAGATGCTTTGCAAGTCAGAAATACACATAATTTTTCCCCATAGCCCATTTAACGCCCAAGGACCACACCAAAGTGTATCCAACAACAGTAAGACTAGTGGCCAAAAAAAAGTGATACGGTCACAGAATATATTAAGTCAATTCTTTCTTTGTGCTCACAAAATGCTTGAATGAAACCCTCAGAGACAACCCTAACAAGAATGCAATGAAGCCTGGCATCAACCAGCACCAGAGGACCTCACACTCCTGCTGCAACAATGACACATACAAACGGAATTGAACAGCCAGTCCTGACATGACAGCTCAGCCCAGTGGTCAGGCTGTCTCTTAATGATATCAAAGTAACACAAACCAGAGACTTATCCACTAAAAAACAAAAAAACAAAAAAACAAAAAAAAACCCACCAAGAAACAACAACAACAAATTAAATTTCTGATGAACCAGGGACACAAATTTGTCTTCCAGAGTATTGCTGGCCTACCAGGAAACCAAAAGTGTCACAAAATCATGTTCTGCCAAGAAAATCCAAACATTCTTAAATCAGGCTCTGGAAGCATATCAACAAGGGAAGACATGAAGGAGAGTAAAGCCCCTCTTCCTTCAGAGGAAACTTGAAAAGACCGAGACAACCATCAAGGCAATACAGTCTAACAAACAATTCCACAAGAATGGCCTTACATTCCTTCCTATGCCCACATTCTCAGGTCCTGGGGGGAAAATAAGAGACTTTGGTGTCACACTACCAGGTGACAAAGTGATGGTATTGACCTTCCATTACCGTAACAATGGCTAAGCCAGAGCTGTTTAGAGGTGCACAGAAGAGAACTTGCATTAAATTCCACGGTAACTGTAAAAGGTGCCCTCTGTGCTGACACAGTGCAGGCCAGTGCATCAGGGTACAAATTACTTGGCCACTTCCTATTGCCTGTGAGGATATTTCAGATGTTATTCTGGTGCTGGGATGGGTGCCTTTCAGTGAGTTCCAGTTCATATGACATTTCTAAGCCTCCTCTTAACACTGCTACTGGCCATATCTGCCCTGCTCTGTCAGGGAACCTGAAGATCAATCAGTGAACTGTGCAGGAAAAGGAGCCTTATGCCAGGATGTCACAGAGTACCACTGAGCACAGACAAAGGCAAACTGCAGAGTAGACAGGCCCTAGGAAGGGATAACGATGGTCCATCCCAAATCTCCTATGCATTTAACTGTCCCCATCTGCAGCCAAGAGTGTCCCCTCCTTCCCCAAGGAAAAGCAGTTGGATCAGACGCACCACACTGAATCGTGGTGGGGATCTCCATGGCTCTCCGGCGTTTGTAGCGCAGTTCACTAGATGGAGGCTGGTTCCAGTTTGCTGATAAATAACCAAATTCATCCCAGAATTTGATGATACCTCTCTGGGCTGGAAAACAAACCACATCCTGCTCAGTATGGAGCCATTACCACAAAATCACCATCTGCACTCTTGGCTGCCCTCCAGCCACCCAAATTTCTCCTTCCAGACCCTGGTAATAGTGAAGCTTCATTACCTATTGCGACATCCTTCCAATACTGAGCCAAATGCTCCCCCATGGCCTTCAGCAAGTGTCGATATTCCTTGGCATCAGCAAAGTCTTGTTTATTATGGGTTGGCTCCAGAACCAAATAGGGCACATCCACCACACCTACCACTCCTCCACATGCCCTGGAAGACATAGAGTCACAAACATTAAACTGACAAGCTGGCAACCTGAACCATCATGCAAAATGTAAGATGGGTTTAAGGATTTGTATTTGCTGTCAAGACCTATTTTGCCTGTCTCTAGAATGAGGCATTATTACTACCAGCATGCATCAGCACCAAATGCCAAGCACCTCATACTGGTGCAGGGATGACTAGAATTTGTGTAGAGAACTCTCTATCAAGAAACCAGGGAAATATTAGACCGTATTAAATATATGCAAACTGAAGGTTGACAAAATGAGCTAGCCTCAGGCTCATGAAGAATGATTAATGCAGAACACAATTATTGCACAGCCTAAGTCAGATGTAGAAATGTACCAGGCTTAAGCAAAAAGATTGCAGAAAAATCTGCAGGACTCACATGCCACCCTCCAGCTGTGGGCCCACCTTCTCATACATCTTGATCAGCCGACTGCAGTTATAAATGAACATGCCGTCCAGCTCACGTTGCTCAATGTTTACTCCAAAGATAAAATTCAGCTCCTTGGGTTCCTTCAGTGCCCTGCAGAGGACAAAACAGAGCCTTAAGAGATGCTGAAAATAAAGCATATTATTTGCTGGTGTTAGAGAGAGGGTATGGAAATCCAGCACCCTTGAGAATTAAATTAATCCTGTAAATTGCTACTTCTGAAAAATACAAAACATTTGTTGAAAGTGAAGCATAAACTTTGAAGAATTTAAGACATTAGAAAAGCTAAGACCTTTATTAAAATTAATTTTTGTTAAATTTAATAAAAAACTAATCCTAATTAAATTTAATAGAGAAGCACTACTAGAATTGGGAGCTAATCATTAGCCAATAACTAATTGTCTGTCAACCTTATGTTTGTTCATCTGGGCTTGTAATGAGAAATGTAGAATCTTGTAAGGAACTTCAAGAACATAAGACAATTGCAAACCAGAAACTAATTGGAAACATGAAACTAGGAACATGGCCAGGGGTTCATTTGTCACTTTGGATTGAAAAGGTAGAAAGGTCAGAATGAGGAAGAGCCATATCCCTTCCTCCCTTATATGACCCCTCCCCATAACGAGACCACTGACTCATTTCAAGGAACAAACTGTGCATGCTTAATTGCTTTTTTCTAATTAGCATAAGAAGTGGAGAGTGGGTGGTAACTGGGTTATGAATATGCATTTGTATTCGATACTTCTGTAAATAAAAAGCCTGTATTCACCTGTACTCAAGGCCATGCGTATTAAGGGGTGACCCTGCACATCAGCCCAGCACTGCCAATAAACACACACTTTTTAACCCTAATAATTTAAAGAGTCTTTGTCCATTACAGCTGGATACTGATACTAGATTATACCCATATTTTGGTGAATCAAAAGAGGATTACAACTGAATATGAACAAAATACAAAAACTTTGCAATACAGATACTAATTTTGTCTGGACAGATAATTTAATTATTAATTTGAATATGTTTTCTCCTTCAGAATGGACTCTGGTTTTTACTTCAGATGTTTTTATTCAGGGGAACCAGTTTTATGAGAGCACTGCTGCATCCAGACTGGGCCTTTTCCATGCTATTTTGGTTTGTATTTTCCAGCTATATATCTCTTTCTAGATAAAGCATGGAAATTCAGATTTCAATACAAAACTACAGTCCTGATATTCTGATTCTATAAAGTTCTCCTAATTCCAAATTTCACAAGGCTGCTCCTTAAGCTGGAAAGCTGGAGGATAGAACACACAGCCCAAGCAGAGGTTTTTGGTTTTTTTCCTGGAATGTCAGGAGATCAATTTGCATAATTTCCCCTTTATCTATGCAGGAGATGACTCCAACAAAAATTGGCCTCAAGTACATTTGTGAGCCCATAGGGATTTCTGAATCTGAATCTTTGGTTACCAGGAATTCTATTGCCATTAAGGGCAAAAGCCTTGAGATTTTAATCTCTTTGTGCTATAAATCAAACAAAATCCCTGTGTCTCACAAACAGAAGTCCTGCTCTTCAACATACTAACTTAATCAGGTTCCACAGCTTCCCTGATACCCATGCTGTGGATTTTTCATAAGAAGGATCCTCAGCTTCATGTTGAAGGTACCCTCAAATGCAATGTCCAAACCAGTAACTACTGCAAGGCAAAGAGTAGCACAGTCCTGTCCATTCCTCTCAATTTTGACCTCCTCTATATTCCCCACCCGCCCCCATCAAGTCCTTCGTAGTTATGTGCTTTATCTTAATGAGGAATTTGACTTCTGCTTAAATGGTTAGCTTAAGATTGTGGAATACTTTAAAATGTTCTGTTGACTGTCTACTAATATCAGATATTAGGAAGAACTGAGCCATGCACACATGAACCCTACACAACCATCACCTGCAGATATGAGTCTGTCTTAATGGTGAAATTTTGCAAAATAAATCCCCAAAATAAATTCATATTCATTTTTTGTTTAAGGCCATCCTCCCTCACACAGATGCAATGGTACTCACATCTTCATTTAAATGACACATCTTCATTTAAAAAAGGTGACTAGCACATTCCTAGGAAAACACCTGAAATAGCAGCTTTCAGTAATTTTAAATCTTTGCAAAGAAGGGTTTTGAACACTGTCAGCTGCTGGGCTGGAATGTGACCCTTTGGTGTCAGCTCACCGACGTAGACAATTATGATTCAAGAGCACGAGCAAGTGTGGCAGAACACCCACCTCAGGGATTCATTTTCTTTTTCTAACTTCTGGGAAAGAATGTAGAGCCTTACACTTCAAGTAATAGCATGTACTCACCTACAAAACAAGAACGTCTCCTCATTTTTATCAGAGACAACAGGAAGTAAAATTATCATCCGAACCATGGAAAACAAAGTGGTGGGTAGAAAGTCAGGGATTTCATTACTAGAAATTTAGTACCTGTCCTATTGTCTGGATTGAGATCCAACCTGATCTTACACAGCCTTTGGAAACCAGAAAGCACATCTTTCATTGATGCACCCAGCATCAGGGAAACAGAAGAAAACTATCCTAGTACATCCTCTGTAACTCAAGAATTTTCCAAAAGACAACAGGGATTAGGTAGTACAGAAACTATCCTATTATACACATCTTTCAGGATTTTCTTCTGTTTTCTGAATGAAGTACAATGCTATGGAAAAGCATGATCCTCTGAACTGTTTCTGATCACTAGTGATGAATGTGGGGTCACAGGGAAAGCCACGTACCTGCCCAGAGCATTTTTTTGCAGGTCAGCTTAGCAGGAAGAAGTGTTTTGCCCATGGGCAGGAAGGGCAGAAGACCATTCACAAAATTTTTTGTTGCACACTAATGTCACCAAACCCAAGAATTAAAGAACAAGGTGTAGATGGAAAAGTATGTGGAAGCTGAAGGAAACAGCTTCTCTCACAAGCTTCTGTATCATTCAGATCCCAGCTCTAGCACTTTTAAATTAAAGCTGTATTTATTTACTTCTTTTTAGCATCTTAAGATGCATTAGATCTATCTCCAGCAATAAGTCTGGGATAGTTCTGACCTAGGCAGCCACGTAAATGAGCATGCACACAGATAGGTGGGAATGGAGACATGCTGTATCCCAATCCCCAAACTTCCTCAGACTCAGCATTTAAGAGGATTTGCTTCTGGTTATCACTTCATTTGAGAAATGAAAAACAAATGTATATGAAGAGTGAAATATACCTGTGAGTACATCAAAAACCAACATTAACTGCCACCAGAGCTAAGATAGAAGAATGCCTTGGGATTTTGCAGCACTGGCTACACCAAAACTCAGCCTGTTTTTAGAAAGCATCCCTAAAATTCCTAAAGCTATTTCATTGTAACTTGTGAACATTTGTTTATCAGCCTGAATCATATCTGCAGGTGAAATAGCAAAAGAGTGAAAAAGACTGATGCAAAAACCAGGTAAACATCTACAGCAAAAAGCCCAGTCCAGAGAAACACATGTCTTTCAGCAGGTAAGAGAGGAATAGCAGAGGCAACCAGAATAGTGCCCCAGCTGCTCAGTTTAACAGCCGAGGCATATAAAATGCCCATGGATATTTAAGCTTTGAGCTGAACCAAACACACATGCAAAACAGGAGAGATATATGAGCATCTGGAGCAAACAGCTTAGGTACTCCAGAGTTTGGAAGTCCCTGCACTCACCGCTGCTTTGCATCCTTAATCCTTTTCTTGACGTCAGCCTCCTGTCGCATGGTGATGGCCAAGTTCTGGACCTGACGCAGCGTCACCTGCAAATAGGCATAGCATAGTCAAGCTGGGGAATTCATAAAATTCATTCAATTTTTGATTTACTGCTCTTTCAGGAAGAGCTGAAAAATGTTTTAAACATAAAAAAGTCACAAGCAGTAGATGTTGACAACCAGTGTGACTCCACATGTAGGGCACACTTATGCTAGGTTGTTTAAACAACTACACAGTTGCTTGAAGGAGAACGTCTACATGTAAAAAAAGGATTAAGGAAATTGAAGCCAGTGGCAATGGGGCACAAGGAGACATCCAGAGCACTTGGATACTGTTGTTTCCATGACATACTAATAGGAAGCTCAGTGATTTTAAACTGTTGTTACTTGCTGACCTTCCTGGTGTCCCTGACAGCCCTCCTCCCACCTCCTGGCACCAGGGCTCAGCCTTGACCCTCTCAAAGCCACTGGAAAAAGGCAAAGAGCCCCTCTCCAAAAGCCCCTGCCCAAATGCCTCAGAGTCAGCTGCACAGGCAGCGGGAAACAGCCAGAAAGCCTGTAGCTCTAGTTCTGTTTCCCAGGCTGCTTCCACAGAGGCTATCAGCAAACAGCACCTGGAGTCTGGAGGTCACCTTCCCACACAGGATATATCGGGGGTGTAGGCAGGGGAACGCCAGTACACTTCTCACTTGGGCTGTACATCATGTGAAGATGGTGAAGCACATCCAGTGGAGATGAGGCCATGGAGATGTCTAAATGATGCTGGAAGTTCACTGCTGACTGGAGCCACCACCTGCTTAACCAGCACACAACATGCTGCCATGGGGTGCTGCCCAGTCAGCCTCACTCCACTGCCAGTGCTCTGAACCATCCCTTGGTGCCCAAAACATGACATGCTGCCAAAAGCACAAGGCTCACCCTGGACTCCCGAGTGAGATCCCCTCCAAGGCGTAGCTCGAGGGCACGGGCTTTGCTCTCTGCCTCACGAGCCTTCTCTTCCGCTGAAACATACAGGGACAAGGGTGGTATCAGCCATTTGGTACAGACAGACATCTTCAGGCATTCACCCAATGAGAGCAACTCCAGAGAGCCTTTGCTGAACTGATGTGTACCAGGGTACAAAGGGAACACAAAAACATACAAAAATCAAACCTTATGTGAGAGGGTCCCACTGACACGGCATCTTAAACATGCTTAGAGGTCACAGTCAACACTGGCACAATAGCAGGGATAAACTGTGCAAAAACACGTTTGAAGGAAGGATCCATGAGGAAGTCAAAGAGGAACTGGAAAGTATAAGGATGCCCATGGCCCTGCCTGCTCTGCCTGGTAATGTGATTCAGAGAACAGTTCTCACAAAACCAGGACTAAGTTCAGGCTTGAAAAGGAGTTCCAAAGAGGTAATTTTCTTGCAGAGATTAAGGGAAAGGATTATTCTCAGAAAAGCTTTTATCTCTGATAATTACTAAATTTTGCCTGGAGAAAAGACAAATCTGTCCTACACATTAAATAGGACCTAGCATTCAGAAAACCTACACTGCATGTGATCTTACCTTAAGAAACTTACCATGTAAAAGGAACTCTCCTTTTTGCCTCTCTCCTAAACAAAAAAGGAATGCTGACTATAAGCACACATCACTCTTGTATTACTTAAGATTCCTTCAATAAACCTCATTTTCCCAAGGAGAATGGACTGAGAGAAGTCCTGAGTAGAAGGACTTGGGGGTGCTGGTGGGTGAGAGCTGGCAGTGCCTCAGCTGTTTGCCCTGGCCCCCAGAAACTCTCCATGCCCTGGGCTGATCCCACAGCGTGGGCAGCAGGGGAGGGGGGGATTCTGCTCCTGTGCCCCACCCAGGCGAGACCCCACTTACAGAGCTGCCTCCAGCCCTGGAGCTCAGCACAGGAAGGACCTGGAGCTGCTGGATTGAGTCCAGAGGAGGCCACAGAAATGCTCCAAGGGCTGGAGCTCCTCTGCTCTGGAGACAGGCTGGGAGAGCTGGGGGTGTTCAGTCTGGAGAAGGTTTCAGGAAGACATTAGACAAAATGAGCTTTAAGATCCCTTCCAACCCAAATCATCCTGTGATTCTGTAATTTGGCAATACAATGGGTGCATGCTGAGGGATGGCACAGCTCACACCAGGACAAACAGTGCCTGCAACCCCACACCTGGGGGTGTAGCAGCCTGGTTACATACAGCACACCCAGAAGACATCTCCCTCCCTGCTCTCCTCACAGGGAGATAAACTGTGGCTGTGAAACACAAGGAAACACACCAATGGAGGAGCAACCTTACCTAAGATTTACATAGGACAAGGTAAGCAAGAAGATGACAGGCTAGCAATTGGCTCCTAGAGATTACCAATATCTCTCCAAAAAGCAGAACTCGGTTGCCAGCCAGAAGGAAACTGGAGACTGTAGCCAGTCAGTTCATTTAGACCACTACAAAGAAAATCCCTTTTTCTTTCTAAGCAGTGTCCCATTGGAGTTTTGTTCACCTCATTCCCACAGCAGCACGCTCTGGAGTTCACAGCTGCTTACCAAGGACTGTGCTGTGTGACTGGCCATCATCAAGAGACAGCCTGGCTAAATCAAGCTAACAGGAGGCTGGAGGCTGCTTAAAGCACTTAGTCCACTTCAATCAGAGCTTGTAGGGAAGTTGCTCGTGGGCTAAACATATTTGTGGCTAGTGGAAAGAACACAGTGGTAATCCAGAAGGGCACAGGTCAAACCTGTCACTAACGCAGTGATAACTGAGACAGCTGACAGGGACCGATATAGTTGCAGGGCTGAGGCCACAAGGCGTAAAGATATGTGTCCTATGCAGGACAGTGAGCATGCAGAAGCTGGACCCCAAATACACATTCTTCCAGAGGACAACAGGCATGGTGTACCCATGGCACTGCCAAACAGGTCAATGAACACACCAAAATAATCTGAAATAATACCTAGAGCAGCATAGAGTTGTTAGCTTCCAGTATGTGACACCTCCGTGACTCCTCACTCTTCCATTTGTTTGCTTTCCAAACTTTGGAAGGAGATTTCCAGAAGCAAAGCAATGGCAATGCCAAGATGCCTCAGTGCAGTACTCAGTCTTGGTTCAGAAGAACACAGAAAGCAGGTGATGGTCTTTCACAGCCATCTTGCCCAGGAATGGAACTTTTTTTTTAGGTCCACCCACTCACTTAGGGATCTGGATACTACAGTTTTATTGCATGAGGCAGGAAGTTAGTTCCTGGGGAATGAAAAATGGCTTTTCCTCATCTTAAATATATGTATGCCTTCACGACTGAGCCATGGCTCATTTTAGATATGCTAAAGCCATATCACCAATAGTCACTGCTGCTCACACATCTTCCCCCTCCAGCTATTTTTCGGTTCTCCTGTTTTGATTCCACAAGCTCATTAACTATTTCCAGAGACTCAGCAATCTCTCAGTCTGACTGATTGCAACACATTTTTTGCAGGCAGGTATCTCTGGCATTCTGGAACTGCTTGTTTGCTCAGCTGAGACCCACTACTTCTCACAATGTACTCTTGGGTTTAAAAGAGCAAAATGCAAATCATTCCTGAGTGAGGATCCCTCTGAAGTACTGGAGACCATTAGAAATTAATAATTTCTACCAGCAGGAGAACAAGAAAACTTGGTGCTACAGATGAAATCTATTTTCCTACCAGAAAAGCAATGACATGTATGCCCCTGAGGATAATACCCTGAGCATGTTTTAGTCCTGGAGGCTCCATGTGACCCCATCTTGCAGTAACAGTGTGAGCTCACCTGGGAGTTTTCACCAGAGTCCTAAGCCCTTTGCTCAGCACTCTCTTACCCCCAGAGGCTCCAGGCCTGTTCAGTGATTCCTGCACTCCCTGAAGCACTGCGTTGGTTTGGTGATCCTTGCACTCCAGAAGCACTGGGTTAGTTGACAGAATCACAGAATCAATTAGGTTGGAAAAGCCCTCTGAGATTATGGAGTCTAACCTTTAACCAACACCACCGTGACAACTGCACCACAGCACTAAGTGCCACACCCAGTCCTTCCTTAAACACCTCCAGGGATGGTGACTCCACCACCTCCCTGGGCAGTCCATTCCAATATCTAATGACCCCTTCTGTGAAAAAATTAATCCTAATGTCCACCTTAAACCTCTCCTGGCACACCTTCAGACTATGTCTTCTCATCCTGTGACTACGTGCCTGGGAGTAGAGACCCTACCCCCACCTGGCTACAGCCTCCTTTCAGGTAGTTTTATCTGAGCCTCCTTCTCTCTAAGCTAAACCACCCCAGCTGTCCTCATAGGACATGCACTCCAGGCCTTTCACCAGCTCTGCTTCCCTTCTCTGGACTCACTCTAACACCTCAATGTCCTTGAAATGAGGGGCCCGGAACTGGACACAGTACTTAAGGTGTGGCCTCAACAGTGCTGAGTATCAGATGGGAGGGAAGAATCACTTCCCTGGTCCTACTGGCCACACTATTTCTAACACAGGCCAGGATGCCATTGGCCTTCTTGGCCACCTGGACACACTGCAGGTTCAGTGACCCCTACACACCCAAAGGCTGCTTTGGTCATGGAAAAGTGTGATGTGTTAATGCAAATGGAACCTGTTCTCACCACTGGGACAACAATGGGCATCATTTTTCAGTGCCAGATGCTAAACTCCATTTTTAAGTGTCATGAAAGCCTCATAGGCTGCTTCAGGGAAGAAGCCTCTCTAAATCCTGCTCTTTTCATCTTCTTGAAAAGCAATGGGAGTGTGTGCTCAAGACCTGCCCTGACTATAGGACTCAATCTAAGAATAAATTCACCTTTGAGGATTGAGGCACACAATAAAATCTGCTTAAGCTTCATCTTATCAAGTCTATCTTCCCAGGCTGTACTTCCTAAAGGAGGAACAGGTAACATGACAATTCAAACCGTTTCACTCTGCTGCTTTTCTTTGGGGTAGGGTCACAGTCACACTGCCCTCTGTGATGCTGCGCAGGCTGAATGTGGCACCACCCCTTGTGCATCTGACCTGCAGCCACACACAGACCTGCCTAAAGCAGCTCTGACACAGGGACAGAGGACATATGCCTCCAAGTGATTTACGGAACTGATTTATGAAACCTACCAGAATATACAGGTCACATATAAATCACAACTTCCAAGATGCTTCCTTCACAACAGCATTTTTCCTTCAAGAGTCAGGGAGGGACACTGCTTTGTGGGTTAAACTTCTGGAGATTTAATGCAGTTACAATACAGTTTAATGTTGTATTTATATGCTTGTGTGATTTCTATACACTGAATATCCAACAATGACAGAGTTTTCTCTGAGGACTTAACAGGAAAGGAAGAATAGATGGACAAAAGGTATGCCTGGAAGGGCTAAAACCAAACAAACCAGGGCTCCCTTGTACACCCAGACCAATCCCTTTACATTAAGTGACAGAATAAAAATCTAAAAATAAAAATTTTTAACTGCCTTAAGAGGAAAGGCGCAGAACAAAAACACAACCAAAAGCTCATAATATGTTAAAGGTGAGTAAAGAACTGCAGGGTGACAGAGCTCAGCCAGACTTTTGTTGGAGTGGGGGCGAACTGCTGGGACTCCAAGGGTTATCCTGCACATCTGCTACTCGGATGAAATGGTCTCTGGGAATAATGTACATTCCTTCCATTGCATGAACGTAAGTCTGTGTCATCTGTAGTTGCTGCAATAATTCAGTTCCTGAGCAATCCCAGCGATCCCAGAGGCAAGCAATCCCAGGTCACACTAATCAAGGGTTTGGTCCTCCCCTTAGCAACAGCTGAATGAGGGCACATGCATACTCTGACAACTCACCTATCCTCGCCATGTGCTCTGCTTTTTTCACCTCTTGCTCTGCACGGGTCTTGAAACGGTTTGAAGTGTATTTGTACATCCTGTGATGATCAAAATTTATTAATCAGCAAACTCAGCAGTAAGGTCAACCCAAAATTTCATCACTGCATGAGAGAACGAAGTCCCCACGTGCTACTATACTCCTCTCAATAGATTCAATAAATGGAGGAGGCTTACATATCATGAACTGGACATTTTTGGATGAAGCTAGGAAAAATCTTTTTAAGTCAGAGGTGTTTGTAGTAGTAGCTGCACCCACAATACCCTCTCTTCTTCTGTACTAACCAGTGGGGGTGAAATATATCCATATTCTTGGAGAAAATCTCAAGAGTTTGTAAGAGATGGTCCAAAGTTTCCCTCATCTGCCTCACGACTGTCACAAGGACAGAGACTAAGACCCTGAAGACCCCAAGAGACTTGGTACAGGGGTTCTGGCCTGGTTGAGGTGGATGCTGGCCAAGTGATTGTTTGCAGGTGTGCTTGCTCTGCTGCCATGGTACACTGACTTAGTTTCTGCTGGTGAGCAGCAACTTGTAAGGAGTGGCCTGTTCTGTACCTTACACCTGCTTCCCAGAGCAACAAGTCTTATCACAATGGCCTGTGAATCTCTCCACCTCTTGACCAACTGCCCCTCACTTTGAAACAGACTATAAAAGTGACTTTCTAAGTTACTTTCTTCGAGAGAGAGATCTCCCCACGGAAAAAGACACTGGCAACCCCGTCTCATCCGTTGGTAGCTATAACCCCCCATTCTTCTCTCTTTTCACTTTGCCTCTTTATCCCTCTCTCCCCCTCTCTCTTTCTCTCCCTCTCATCTATCGCATAACCTATGTTGTTGGCACTAAAATAAAGGTCCATCTCACACAGGGATAGCTCAAGGCAGGGCAACAATTTAACCAGAACTTCAGGTTTCAGGATGCTTTTGTGTGCTTCACATCTGACTCATAACCTTGAGAAATTGTTGAAGATGGAGCAGCTTGTTTCACCTTCTCTGTGTTCTAACATGCCAAATACAGACCCAAATTCACTGACTGCTGTAGAGTGAGAGATGGGTGTTTGTGAGGCAGAAGGTCATGAATGCGTATCATCTCCAAGAACATCATGAGGAAAGATGACACCCAGGACAAGCAGAGCCTGCAGGAACTCAGATCACCTTAAGACATGAGGTTTTGGATATATCAAGAGGAAAATCCCATCCCACATGGATGAGACTTTCCAGTATTTAGCTAAAGCAAAAGCCACTAGAAATGCTGTTTTTACAGAAAGGAAAAAACACATGGGGATGCAACACTTGACTGACCAACTGATTGGAATCACACTTAGATTCTAATGAGAGACTAAATTCCCCCCAAATGGCAAATAAACTGTCAGGATTCATGAGAAACAGCCTTGTAGTGATTAAAAGTTTTGTGTCTGTGGATGAGCATACATGGATGTCAGTACTGACATCAGACATAATCTCACAGGAATCCCTTGCTCCCAAATCTAGAAAATTAATACCACATGCACAGTTCCTGGAACTACATTTTGCTAAACTAATTTTCTGCTATTTATAAGGATTTTCTCCCTGGGGAAAAAACAGGCAGGTGCTAAGATTTCCAGAAATCACAGTTGGTGATTTCACCACGTCAGGAGCTGAGGGTCAAGATTTTGGTGGCACCATCTCTAAGCTATGACTGCTGTAGAGTGAGAGATGGGTGTTTGTGAGGCAGAAGGTCATGAATGCGTATCATCTCCAAGAACATCATGAGGAAAGATGACACCCAGGACAAGCAGAGCCTGCAGGAACTCAGATCACCTTAAGACATGAGGTTTTGGATATACCAAGAGGAAAATCCCATCCCACATGGATGGGACTTTCCAGTATTTAGCTAAAGCAAAAGCTACTAGAAATGCTGTTTTTACAGAGGCAAAAACACATGGGGATGCAACCATGCTGCTTTCAACATGTTGGCATAACTGCTTTACTTCAACCACATCTGTCTGACTTCTAGGGGGAAAATAAAAAGACAGAGAAGCAGAGTGAAGCTGAATTATCCCCCCATGCCCAGCTCAGAGGGCAGGGCAGCACTTGGGGGGACTGTAGGGACAGCAGTCCTTTGCTGTAGGGAGCACTGCAAGCAACTGTGGGGTGTCCTAGATGATGGCACTGTAAGCCATCACCAGCTTCAAGACAGTCGTTCCAACTTCCTTGGAGTGTCCTCATAGAGGCACATGTCTTGCATGTGGCTTGCCTATTTCTACCTGCACAGCCCGTATTGCTAAACAAGCTCCAACAAGTACTGGGGAAGAGATGGAAGCAATCCTTCAAGAGACACAGGCCATTCCCAGGGAAGCTGGGAACGTGGTAACACAACTGCAAATGATGGTGAAGGATCTGCACTAAACTAGCCCGCCCCTGCCACCAGGATGTTATCAGCTCCAGAAAGGTAAGGAGAAGCCTCTCCCACAGAAACATGGGTGGTGATAAACAGAAAACAAGTGCTCTGTTTAGGAGATGCACTGTTACTCCTGAAAAACAGTGCAAGGGCTGCAAAACCTTTTTTTCAGTAAAGGCACTTACATACCCTAAATCCACAGTGGATTTCCATTCATTGTCCACTAACACCAACACTGGAACCTGCAGACAAGCCACTGTACAGGTTTTTCCTTCAGAGATAAAGGGAACCTGACTGATAGCAGGAGGGAACCCCCTCTAAAAGAAAAGAGCCCCTCAGATGTCCCACACAAGCACACCAGCTACTCAGGCTATAAGGCAGCAGCACCTCCACTCTCTGTTCCCCATTCCTTTGCTTGACCAGGAAGGTTGAACACTTACCCGGCCCAGGCTGCTGGGCCAGAAACACAGCCATGCTGAAGAGCTGAGCTTCACTGCTATATCAGTGACCCCAAAGGAGCACCATAATGGAGGTGCCTTCCCCTGTGGACTTACACACAAAGCAGCACCTGTACAAGTGCAAGGGATTAACCCAGTATTAACCTGGAGAGCACTCAAAGACTAGTAGATAAATAGGGATGATGGGCTCTGGCTCCAGCTCTAAAGGGAAAGCAAGGGCATAAGCAAATCTTTTTAGCAGGCTCAGGGAGAAAAATGTAAAAAAACCCCACACCTGTGCCAGTAAAAGCAGAGTAGCTCCACTTTCAGAATGGACTGATTTACTGGTTTTCCCTTTGGAAAGAGCCACCCAGGGCAGATTTGAGTTCTCCTCAGGAAAAAGGCTGAGTTTTCTCAACCTGCCCAGGGGATAGTGTAGTACCTACCCCAAGAGCTGTGCTGGCTCTCAGAACCCACAGTGAAGGTTTTGATGACATTGTCCTGATGGCCAAGCAGCTTCTGGAGCCCAAAGGCATCGGGAAGTCCAGCCAAAAGGGAGCAGTCTGGACATTCTCCAGAGAGGCCTAGTAAAGCCACAGTAATTGTCAGAAGTCTGAGAATATTTACACTGTGCTCTACAGGAAGGCCTTGCAAAGTCTTTACTGCTATGTTGCAGGAATGGGGATTTTAAATGCAAATGCCTTTACAGTGTTTGGGAATTTCCACTGGTATATAACTATAAGCAGATCAACAGCAGTCTGCTTAGATGTGGCACAAGCAGATCTGTGAGATAAACCTGTCACAAGCACTAAATCCATCAGCTTGGGGCTCCTTAGAATAGATTACTGACCACTTGAGAAAGAAGACACTAAACCAGATGAATATCTGCGTTGACCTGGGACAGTTAATATTGTCATGATGCTGGCAGCATCACCCACAATGACAGCATTCTGTCTATGAGTCTCACAAGAAGCTTGTCTTTGATGAGACAAAAATCTGTGTCCTCCTCTGGTTTCTCTCTCTAGTACTTTTTGATGGACTGCAGCACAAGCGAAAGCAGCACAAGGCCCTCACATGTAGGTAAAATACAGTCAAAAATCCAGAAATCCAGAGATTCTCTACCCAGTAAATCAGGATTTGCAGTGGCAAGTTCCCTGCCTTCTGCAAGGAAACAACTGGCCTGGCCAGCATCAAGAGCAGTGGGTGTAACATTCTTTTATTTTGGTCAGGTTTCTGATACCATTTCACAGTGTCACGTATAAGGAGTTGAGGAAAGGCTAAGTTAAAAACCAGCCAGACTCTTCAGGCACTGTCAATGGCATGATGCTGGCCTGTGGCTGCTAACAGTACCTGGTAGGCTAAGAGTGAGCCCAAAATGCTCTGCTAAAAAATCCACAAATACTCTACAAAATTACTACTATTTTATTCAAATAAACTATGCCAGGGTATCTAGAATGCAGACTGTGCTCCTAGAGAGAGCCTCCCTCAAGCAGACTTAAATACAGGTTTTCCTTTCCCCTCCCATCCCAGTAACCTTTTCCAGTCTTTGTTCAGCCAAGGGACAGCACACCCCAACTCACTGTCACACTTTTTAATTAAGGAAATTTAAAACGAATATAGCGAAAGCTTTTTCTCAACCTCTATTAAAACCTAGATTAGCTACATATAAAAGCAACTGTTTCAAAGCGCTCAGTCTAGTTTCTTTTTGGAAATAATCCCAACACCTACCATACATATTTCCTTCTTCTGCTCAAAAAAACAACACAGTTACCCAAGAGTTTTGTGTGAATATGGCATTTCATGCAACCAGGATCCTAATTTCTTTGTTTTCTCTGAAAGGGAGCCAAATTGCACCAATGACTCATGCAATTTTCAAAGGCATTAGATTTTACACTATGTATCTATCTTCCCATGATGTCAATAGCACATGCCATTCTCTTACGGTCTGATTCTGAAGCTTTAGGGTTAGGGTTAGGAATGGAATTATGCAGGATACACCTGGAGAGCAAAACACTACACCTTTTCTCTAACTCCAAATGGTCCCACACATCCGCAGATTCTGGATACAACACTTACCTTGGCTTGTAGAGGCAGCATGAGAGTCGTTTGGTTTGTACTTTGTGTCCGTTGATGAAGATCCTCATCCTGGGATCGATGTAAAGCACAGCAGCATAGGCACGAAAGGAGCGGCGCTCCGGCTTGCTGCAAGACAGCCATCAACTTCAGAACACGCCCAAGAGATACCCTCAGCAAAACAGACAGGTGAAAGAAAAGGTCTTTCTATTTTAATTACCGTGAAGCTACATTAAGCAAAGCTTTTCTATGAAGCTGTTTCTACCTGTGTCTTCTCCAGATTTTCTGTTGAGCTGTACATCCTAACTACTGCTACAAGACACTGATATATACATTACTGCAGCCTGAAGAGGGAGTTTGAATACATCTAGATAATAATGGCCAAAGCTATAAACTGGACTACTCAACACTAAAAGTATGCCCACTTACCAGAGCTTTTCTACCCTTCAGTGAGTCAACAATACCCTGCCACAGAACCTACACTACTCACTGACACACATGGTACTGCAACATCAGAAGAAAGAGGCAGTGACCAGTGGCAATCATGCCTGCCTTACAAACAGGCATTAAAGATGCCGTGATCCCTTGGAGGGCCCCAAGGAGTTTGCTCAGTATCATCACTCTAATACATAAACAAAGCTGCTTTACAGGGCCTGACACTTCCTGTGGAAAATTCAAGCACTTCAGGGAAGAAGCATGTAATCTCATCAAAAAGGTAAAGCTTGCTAGGTGTGCCCATGGAACTCCAGGATTTAATCAAGCATTTGGCTCAGCTCAGTTTTTTGTTTTCAGGGTACAGGTGATCAACTCAGCAAACACTCAGTTCTCTTTAAACAGGGCCCTGTACTCTTCCACCCGCCCTCTGAGCACATCCTTCTTGCCCCTCCGCAGGGAGAAGTGCTCCCTGCTCCCTGAAAGATGGGGTGATGCACCCCACCTGCCTCTCATATCATCCCCACACAGAGGCTGACCTGCACAGCACCTTGTGTTTTGCCACAAAATCACAAAACTGAGAGCAGTTTGGGAAAAGCACTGATTCACAACCAGGTCTCATTCTGATAAAAACATCTTTGATAGTGTCCTGGGGTGACTTTATGATACTGGTATCCCCAATCGTCTGGTTTATGTTATATATTAAGTTCTGCACCTTTAAGACTGGCTTTGAGAGCAAGAGAGGGGGAAGAAGAAGCGCGCAGTTTGTGTTAAGGAAAAACATCACTCCCACACATCCCGCTCCTGGACTGTGGTGTCTGCAGCACGGACAGACAGCGGGACAGAGCTTCTCTCTGGATTTTAGTTAGTTTTAGCTAGCTGAAGCAGAGGAGTTCCCTAGACCTTTGTTTGTTTTTTTTTCCCAATTTTCTTGGATCTGTGCAAGCCTGCTCTGGACTGAACACCCAGCCAAACCCCGGGAGCTCACGCCTGTGGCCCACCGGGGCCTGGGCCTCGGCACTTTCCAGCGCCGGAGGGACTGATAAGAACCTGAGCGAGCCGAGCTACACCACATGAAAAGGACTTTTCTTCCTAGACTTGCCATCCCATCGAACAGCAAGAGGTTTTATTATTTAATATTAATCAATTTCTGTTAAATAAACAGCTTTTTCCACTTCTCTCTAAGGAATTTTTTTCTTTTCCCGGACCAGTTAGTGGGGAGGGGCATTTCCCTGGGGAAATCCCCATTTGGAGTTTTCCTTCCTAATTTGCCCTAAACTAAGACAGATAGGTGTAGAAAATGAAACATTTAGCTTAGGGCTCCTTTTTATATGGTGCCTAAAGGACACTGAGTCTGCTGCTTTGGCTAAGCTGAGATCAGCCAGTGCAGGCATTCACCTCACACACAGCCACAACACCCATGGGCTGACACACAAATGAACCCCAACTTGCTAAAGAACAAACTACAGATCTTCTAAATTCTCTAATTCACTACAAAAAGAGAAGCTTAAAAAAACCCCATGCACATGGTATACAGCCAAACCCTACACCAGATCTGATCAGGGCCTGTTATGCCAGTCACACTTACGTTCCCTCTGGGGGTGTTTCTGCCATCTGAATATCTTGAGGGTCAGAAGTCACATCCAGCTCTGGCTCTCCATTATCCATTAGTTTGAGGTTAAAGATGATCACCAGGGTGCCTGAGCAAGTAACAAGTCGACCAGGTGAACCCCAGCCAAACCCCAAATACCTCACTCGTGACCTGTACCATCCACATGTACCTTTCTCACCACGTATCTTATTGAATTGGTCCATCACTTCCCGTTCTGATTTGAAAGGGGAATACTTGTAAATGAGCTCCGTCTCAATAGCAAATTTCTCCATGTTGTCCGTCACGGGTTCACAGCTCCGTGTGTTCCAGGTAGGTAGGGGAACGATAACCTGCAAATCCCATTGTACTGACAGTGAGTCAGGCTCTCCCACTCCAGTCAGCCCCTCTTGCAGGTCATGTTCCAGTGACTTACCCCTCCTGACAGCCCCCTAAATCACCATGAGAGTCCTTTCCAGCTTTTCAGTAGTTTGCATGTCTATCAAATGCTCATAGACCCTCTTTGCTAGCCTCTGGGTTGCCTTCTTGCAATACCAGTCCCAGAATCAACTACTCCCAAGTCACATGTACAGTACTGGCTACTCACACACTCAATGGCTTTTTTCCCCTTCCCATGTAGCAACTTTCATAATACTAAAAAAACCACTCTGGCTTAATTTCTTGAGAAGAGCTCAGATATCCTTTACCCATATTTATCCTGATCTCAGTCTTTGATTTTTTAAAGCAAGGTGATTCCTGCCATTTAGAGCAAATATACAGATAAAATTATGAACTGCAGCTGCACATCAAGGACACAAATCCTATTCCAGAATTGTTGTCAAACCAAAAAAGTAGCCAGAGCTGCTGCAGGAATTAGAATTACTTTACTGTTCCCACCTGCTTCAGTCATGGGCAGGCTACCAGCATGCACTGCCCCTCCCCAGCTTCTCGGCACAGGACCCTTCAATCCCTCCCCCATAATGGAAGATGCTGAGATACCACTCCAGAGCAAATTAAAAACTTTTCATTATCAACCTTGCCTGGAACAACAATTCCTGAATTATCTATTAAAATACACAAGTTTTTTATAGGTAGAACTACACTGACATTTTATTAAAAAAATCAAAAACATCTGTAAGAAGAGACACACCTGCAGTTAATGACCTGTGAGTAGCAACTTCAAACACCTTTAATTCTCCACATAAAATCCAATCAGAGAAGTAAAATTAAATGCATCTCAAATTTTGTGGGAAAGGGAAGATGCAAGATGTCTGGGCATGTCCTGAATTTAGCACAAGCATACCTTTAAGTGACTGAAATAAGCCCTTCAAAATTGCTCTACTCTAGAGAGACTTCTCAATTAGAAGTAAATTTTAGAATTAAAACCAAAAGGAAATAAAATTTGTTGACTTTGCAGAAGCCCCACAAGCATAATACCAAAAGAAAACCATACACTGATCCCACCAGAGTCACAACCAGCCCTGACACAGACTCTTCTGTGAAAGATGGGCAAGTTCAGATGAGGCAGTATTCACTGTATTAGTTCATAACAAGAAGCACATGCAAACCTCATTGATGCCTTCTTCCTCATGGAACGTCCGTGACAAGAGGAGGCAAGTCATGGTGTTATCCTTCTTTGTGAACAGGATAAAATCCTTCCCAATCCGCATGGAACCCCTGTAGACAGAGGTCAGACTGTGTGTTACACCTGATGTACCACACTGTTCAGAATGCAGCCCACATTACTGAGCTTTCTTCCCATTATGTTCAGTTATGAGATGCCAAAACCAGGTAAGGCAGAAGGGCTGAAACAGCAACTACCATTTCTCTCTAAACATCTCACTCCTTTCAGAAGGCAGATCAATCCGGGCACTTTCACAACATTTCAAAACATTTAACACCGGTCACAATTAAAAGGTGCACAGCATTGCAGACTCATACTAAGTAGAAAGTTTAAATAAAAATAAAAATAAAAATAATTAAAAAGACAACTGATGTGAGATGTGACAATAACCTTTAAATCTCTGAGCAGAAATGTCAGTGAGAAAACAAGCACAATCCCCATTTCACTGTACCGAGATTCAAGCACAGCAGTCTGGATACAGAAAATTCATTTCCTAATCTCACTAAAGCCTTACCGACACTTCAGCTAAGGCAGCTTAGCAGCTTGTTGTCACAAAAAGGGACAGTTCCCTCTTCCTCCCCATTCTCCTATCCCAAATAGTCTTTGTATCTTCTCTATCTTCTCTACAAAGTTATCCTGTTAGCAAACTCAACCAAAACACCTTAACAGATAACAATTAACATTGCATGGAAAAAAGTATTAGTATTATGTCAGCATTTCTCTTCAGACTGGCTTAAGTCCATACCACAACCTACCTTTTGCATGCAGCAGCTCCAGGCAGCATTTCTCAGATGTAAAACAGTATACCTCTTGCTCAAGGTTAAGAAAGGACAGAGATCTGTTCTGGAAGCATACAGTCAGGATCTGGGATCTGCCCTGCACTGCAGCTGAACTGACAGTGTTTCAAGAACCCCTAATCCTGGATTTTCACCCCTGGTTATAGAGTTCCACTGATTTCCAAGTAGGATGCATATAATCAAGCCACATGGGTGAGCACAAAGCACAACAGCCAGAGTAAGTCACAAAGCTCTGTAATTCTTCCAAAGACACATCAAATTTCTTCCTCTTTCCTAGGAAATCCACTCCAACCACTAGGATTCCCTTCCCACATGTGCTCCTCTGCACTTAATCCCACCCCTCCTCTCATTGCTTCCATCATTCCCCTTCCCCCTGCATTTGTTTGGTTTAAGAACAAAAAGAAAAGGTTTAAGTCCATCTCCCTTGTATCAGACAACTTTCCTTGATAGGCTGCAGCACTATCTTGCTCAAATTTTACCTGACTGTAACAGGGAGATTACAATTTTCTTTCCAGCTCTTCCATTATTTTCCCCAAGCTCTGACCCATACCCTCTGCCTTATGCAAACATAGTGCCAAAACACTGTCATCAGCTGTACAGAGCCTTCCTGACCACTAGAAAACTACAGCAGATGTTGACAGAGCTCCAGTCTACCAAACCAGGGTATCTTAGAGTTCATCTACTTTTTTTTTTTTTTTTTCTGGAAAAAATGCAATATACCACTGAGCAAAAGGTACATCGATCACCTGGACTATGACCTCCCCAACCTCAGGAGGCTGGCTCTTGTTGTACCTACGATTTCAAGCCGTTCCCATACTGTCCGATTTGAGTGGACTCAGGTGATCGCTTGGCTGATTTACCAAACTGGATAACACTGGCAGCTTCATCTGCAGCAAGAGACAAGGAACAAAAAAGGCTTATTTCAGGGTACAGACACATACACACGCATACTTCTTTTAGATAAAGAAGGAAGATAACTCCTTCACCACTGGAAATAGGCCAGAAAAGAGGCCAGAAGCCAAAGCTGAAGTTCCATCCTGAAGCTGTACCACAGAGCCCTGTGAGATTCATGCTGCGTGAGGGCACTGATGTTACCAGAAGCTTTGTACAGGTGCCATGATGCTGACAAAAAGAGTTTTAAGTTTCAGTCTAGTTCACTACCCCATCTGAACTGCATGAAGACATTTCTTCTTACCAAAAAAAGTTGTCAGCTCACATAAATTAAGACCCCAGGATGCAGTGGATCTGTTGCACCCCATGTGCCACTGACACCACACACTTGAGAGCACTGGCACTAGAACGTAAGTCAGGACTACTATAAAGGTCAGGAATCCAGAATAAACACTGCTATTTCTTCACAGTGCAGAACTGAGCACTCTGGTTAATTAAAGCACTAGTAGGACACAAGCTAACTTTGGCAGCAGATTGCTGGAGCCCTGGCAGCAGGACAGCTGGGGAGAAAGGCAACATAAGTAGGTCCTACAGCAATTAGCAGAGGATCTCATTAGCACAGGACAAAATGAAAGGACACAATGGCTTTACAGCTGAGAGGGTCTGTCATTTTTAGTTCCAGCCTTTCTATTGTTCAAGGGATAAAGCCTTTTAAAATCATCCCTAGGACAGAATCATTTCTTTCCCTTCCCCCAAGAGATAATAATCATTTCACCAGAGAGTTTACTGGGAAAAATAAAGTTTAATTCCAGAGACAAGTAACACAAAGTGCCTTGCTGTGAGGGCTAAAAACAAATGCATACACAAGCTACAAGGAAGCACAAGACATCACTCACCCCACCAGGCAGCTACAGTGAGGCTGAGCCCACGGACAAGCTAGATTTCAGCATGCAGGAGACTCACACAGACCTATCAGCATTGGCCAGTTTTACAGTAAAATATTCATTACTAACACCATTGGTTTGACATGACATCACTGAGCTGGGTCAGAATGCCATTTTCAGTTGTTAAAGACATGAATACAGGAGAACAACTATGCAAACACCTTGCTGCCTCAATTGCAGCTACTCTCAATGGAGCTCCACCATTATTCCAGAAACAGCTTTGGACTGAAGGCCTTCCCTTCAGCCTACTGTGGTATTTTCTCGCCAAAGAAAGAAAACACCAGAATGTCTTGTATTTGAGATCCGGGTAAGGATGTCGGTGATGATGATATCGTTACTATTATTCCAACTACTACTGCTGTGTTATTTTTAAAGCTTAGTAAGGAAAGCAGATAGGAATATTGCAAAAAGAGGACTATTGGAACCTTTTTGCTCTACAAACATTTTTCAGTAACTATTTTTAAGAAACTTTTAGGAAGCCTAAAATGGGTAAAGAGTAGTTACCCAAAGCATTTCCCCTCTCAGGAAAGTGACCAGATGGTTTATCACTCAATGCTGGATGTTTGAAACCACCCTATTATGACTCCTCTTTCAGGGCAGAGGGATTAAGGTGATGCCGGGCAGAGAGGACTGTGAGGTAGCACCTCTCTCCAGGCTGTCTTTAGGAGAGATTTAATACTTATATCCTCCCAAGAAGCAAGATACAAATGATTTTTTTTTTCAGTTCTTTATAGGCTCTGGAGGGTGTTTCACTTAAGGCTATTTTAGTCACACTATTTTTGTTTTGTTATACCTCAGAGCCACTGGATTAAAAAAAAGCCAAACTCCCCGGCAAGAAAAATGGGGGAAGGAGATCTATGCAAAACAAAGAAGAGAAAAAACAAGATAAAGAAATTCATTAAAGATGGCCAAGATAGCAGGTTGATCTTCAAAGCCCAAGAAATCAAGGGCACATATGAAAAGATTCTTCACAAGAAACACTGGATGCCTGGGAGGAAGGAAATGGTGGATGAAGTTGTTCAGTTCCTAAGTGCTCCTGAAGTCAGACCCCACTTCGCTTGTTGAACAGAGTCCTCTTGTATCTCCAAGGTCTTCAGCTGAGAATGCACTAAAGAAAGTCCCAATCTTAGCAGAGAAAATTATACTTCCTGCCTTCTCCGCAAATTCATCTGCTGTATTCACATTAGGTGGAGTATTTGCAGCGGACTCAATAGCATTCTCAAAAGACATCCCAGAGCTAAAGGATTTAATTCACTACCTGGGGAAAATTATCCTAAAGCCAAGTTGAACTTTCCCAAGGATAGAGGAACAAAGGAGAAGCTGTGAGGTCCTTTGACACTCTAACAAACACAGGACATGAGCCCCATATGGGGCACTGACTAGAAACAGTGACTGACAAATCACTTTGATATATGTTCCTGTATTAATTTTAAAAATCTGTTAACTTTAGAGTAAACATCAATGTTAGGGTTAAAGATTTAACGAAGTTTAACAAGATTTAAACAAGGTTAAAGGGACATTTTCTCCTGAGAACCATGTAGACTGCTCCCCTGAAAGTGGCCCCCAAGAGTCACTGTCCACACACACAAGTGTGTACTCACTCTAAAGTAGGAGCTGGAGTTCCAGTTAAACAGTGTTCCTCACCATCATGAGCCTTGGATAAACAGTATTTTTAAAACACAAGATCTAATAAAGCAACCAAGACACTACTACTTAATTAACTGCTTCCATTAAAACAAAAGTTGTTTTGAGCTTCCATACTTCAAAAATACAATTGAAAAAGCAGGACCTGATATATTTGCTTCAATCTCTCAAAAAGACATGGAACAAGCCCTCTTAAAAACTATCAGAAGCCAGACTGGGCTAAGTCTGCAGAGATTTACAAAGGCAAGTCACACCTGACAGATTTGGTCACCTTCTACAAGGCAGCACCTTCTGTCCTTATGGAGCGAACAGTGGGTATTGTTTGGCTGGACTTCAACAAAGTGTTGGACACAGTTTACCACAGCCTGTTCCTGGATAAACTGGGGAGACACAAATCAGGCAAGTGGTGTACAAAACAAGTAGGGAACTGGCTTATGGGTCATGCTCAGAAGTGATCATCAATGGTTTTCACTCCGGCTGGCAGCCTGTCACAAGCAGAGACCCCAGGGACTGATGCTGTGCCCCACACTGCTCAACATCTCCATACAGAATCTGGATCCTGGGGTGCTTTTGCACCCTCACCAGCTTTGTTGATGGGGGTAAATTAGGCACATAAGGAATGCTTTCTTAGACACCTGGACAGGCTGGAATAGTGGGCAAGCAAGATTGTGTCTGAAGTTCAAGGGAAGTGTAAAGTCCTGCACCTAGGACTAAATAACCTGAGAGCCCAGCACAGTCTGGAAATTGCAGGTTGGGAGGAGCAGCCTTGCTGGAAGCATCCTGGTGGACAACAAGCCAAGTATGATCCAGCAGTGTTGCACAGCAGCAACTGAGGCAAACAGTATCCTGGGCTGTATCCACAGAGACATTGCCAAAGAGATGGAAATGTGATTACCCCACTCAACTCCATGTTTGTCAGGCCCCACCTGCAGTACTGTGTCCAGTTCTGTCTCCTCAATTCAGGAGAGATGCAGACAGACTGAACAGGATGCAAAGGAGATGATCAGAGGCCTACAGAATCTGCCCTATGAGAAGAACTAGGTCTCCTTCCTTGAGAAGAGAGGGCTCAGGGGAAATCTCCTCATAGTATTACAGTACTTGAAGGGTAGCTACAAAGAGGATGGAGTCTCTCCCTTCCCTAGGATCCACATGAAAAAGAGGCAATAGATACAAGTTGCACTGGGAGAGGTTTCTTCTTAAAATAAGTAAGAAATTTTTTAGAGATCAATCAGTTATTTAATCAATCACTGGAACAACCTCCCCAGGTATGTGGTAGAGTCCCCATCACTGGAGAGACAGTGCAAAATCATCTTTTTCCTTTCCCGTGAAAGGCTAGTACAAATGAACTTTGAGGTACTTTCCAACCTGAGCACTTCTATGATGAAAATGCCAGGAAGAGACTTATTTTCTTCAATTGCTTAAGAATAAAACTAGTCACTTCCTAAACTAGTTGTTATACTTTCTCAACCTAGAAGTTGATCCACTGAATCATTCAACCTGTATTTTGATTCTTTAAATTCATGCAGCATTTTCAGAGCCAGGCATTAGGTAAAAGTTCAAGCCAGAGTAGTGATTTCACTGATAGTATGAGAAATCTGATGTGCTGCAGGAGATCTATTGCTTGGTTTTCTATGGATTCCTGTCTAGCTCCTTACATAAAAGCCAAACTTTCGGGCCAGTACTATTATATTCTCTGTGTTGGAGGCAGAGGGTATTTATTGGTTGGTAATATATTTTCTAATATTGGAAATTAGGAAAAAGTTCTTCACCAAGTGGTGGTTGGGCACTGGAAAAGGCTCCCCAGGGCAGTGGTCATGGTCTCAAGCCTGACAGAGCTCCAGAAGCACCTCCCAGGCACAAGGTGGGATTTTGGGGTGTCCTGTGCAGGGCAAGGAGCCAGACTCCATGATCCTGGTGGGTCGCTTCTAACTCAGAAGATTCTATAATTCTGATACCTCTCTGCAGGACATGATGGTTCTTTTGAAAAGAGCTGTCCTGTGACATCACTGAATCCTCAGACCTTTTGGCAACTGACAGAATTCACAGAATGACTAGGTTGAAAGAGACCTTCAAGATCATCAAGTCCAACCCATGCCCTAACACCTCAACTAAACCATGCCACCAGGTGCCACACCCAATCTGTTTTAAACACATCCAGGGATGGTGACTCTACCACCTCCCCCAGCAGACCATTCCAGTAAAAAACCTTTCACCCCTTCAGTAAAAAACTTTTTCCTAATATCCAACCTAAATTTCCCTTGGCGCAGCTTGACACTGTGTCCTCTTGTTCTGTCACTTTCTCTCTTGTTGCTCAGAGAAAGAGACCGACCCCCACCCAACTACAACCACCTTTCAGGAAGTTGTACATAGGGAGTGATAGGGTCACCTCTGAGTCTCCTTTTCTCCAGGCTAAACAACCCCAGCTCCCTCAGTTGTTCCTCACAGGGTTTGTGTTCCAAGCCCCTCACCAGCCTTGTTACCTCCTCTGGACTTGCTCAAGTATCACAACATCCTTCCTGAACTGAGGGGCCCAGAACTGGACACAGAACTCCAGGTGCAGTCTCACCAGTGCTGAGTACAGGGGGAGAATGAGCTCCCTGCTCCTGCTGGCCACACTATTCCTGATCCAGGCCAGGGGCCGTTGGCCTTCTTGGCCACCAGGGCTCTCTGCTGTCTCATATTCAGCTGCTGTCACCAGTACCCGCAGGTCCCTTTCTGCCTGGGCACTGTCCAGCCACACTGTCCCCAGCCATGACTACAGTGTCAGCTGTACAGTACAGCTGTTTACAGTACAGATGGCTACAGCTTGAGTACAAATGTATTCTGATCCTGGGACCACACAACCCAGAGTGACCATTAAGACAGCCAATACAGCACAGCCAATACAGAATGCAACTGCAGCAGGAATCAGTTGACAAACACCAATTTTCAGAAATGAGGAGTTGTCATTTGGCTTGCTAATCAGAAGTCATCAGAGCGCTCAAATCTGACCAACTGTCTCACTAGAACTTTCTGTTTTCAGAGCCTGCCAGATGAATCTAGAATTGCCCAAGACAGAACAAGGCCCAAGAGAACAGCAACAAGACAGAGTAACATAGAGATTGTGTTACTGGAACAGTTAACTTGAGCCCTTCAAGCTATTCCCTCCATTTATAAGTGCCCAGATGCAACTGGGTTTATTCACTCATCATCCCTAGATGATGCCTCATCCTGCCTCCAAGCCATCCTTTCAGTTGACTTGGCAAGATCCCATGCTAGCATGGGCTCCAACAGCACTACAGCAAATCATGGAGCTATTCTTTTTAACATGTCAGCTTTATGTACAATAAAAACAATTTTTAATTGAAGTTACCATGCCATGCACAAAAATAAAATACGCCCAAGATCCATGATTTCTTGTTGAAGCAAGGTCTATATAAAGGGAGAAAAGTCCAATAAAAGGTTTTCTGCTGACATTGCTTAAAGTCAGATAGGAGATCTTCAGCATATCTTTAAAACTGGTAGACCCTGCATTACAAAAAATGCAGGATCTGCATTACAAAAAATGCTCAGATCCCTACAGCCAGGGATGGAACCAGAGGCCCATGCAGGGAGTCTGAATGAAAGACTCCTTAGGTGCTTCTGTTCATGCTGACAGAATGGTGCAGTACACAGAACTTCCACCTGGCTGCCCTTTGTCAAGCATCAAGACAGTTAACATGAGTTACATGGTATTTGCCATATACAATGCATAGTGCTGTGAAATACCTCTGCAACACACAGTATCTGCCATTCTTTACTGAGCATTTCAGACTATCAGGATAAAATTCAACATTTAGCTGAAAGATTAGACAAAAGAAGCCACTTAATAGCTGTTCTGGGTAACCCAAATATTGTATTCCATACCCATCTGTGCCTAAAATTGATTGTCTCTTTAAGACCATACCTGGTGGTATGGCCAGAATCAGAATCACAGGGCTGCGGGTAGGGGCAGTAAAGTGTCAAAATCTTTAAAAGTTAAGGCACTCTGGCAGAGCTTTCTCTCATCTCTCATAGCTTTTGCCCACGGCAGAGGCTCTGCTTTGGGTTTTTTTCTTCCTCGGTTTCTCTCTGACCTCCAAAGGGGGTCAGTTGCATATACTGATGGAGCTGCTGCCACCAGAGAGATAAAATGCAGGGCTGCCATAATATTCCCTTTGTCTCCTCACATGCAGTTGCCCATGGCAAGCATCATCTTGGGGAGAGGGGTCACTTTACCATTCTGAATTTCTCTTTGTTCCCAGGGAGTCCATGAGATTTAGCAATTTTGTATCTAGTGATTATTTACTGTTATTTTGCACCTGTTGCTGTTTTGCTTGTTAGTAAACTTACTTTTTTCACTTATATTTACACATATTAATTTCTTGTGGAAAGGGAATGGTTAAAGCTAAAATAGCTCAGTTCAGAGCATCCCCCTTAAATTATCTTAAACCAAGACTATAGCCAATATTTAAATCCCATTTTGCCACAAAACCAGCAATTCAGAAGCAACAACAGTATAAAAGCTGCCATGAAAGTCTGTGGCATTAGAATAGACATCTGGCATCTTCCAGAGAAACACACAGCTTTCAACACAGGCAGAAAAGGTTGTATTTCGTCTCCCTGATCCTACAGATTACAAGAAGGCCACACTTCAATCTCAGAGCTTTTTTTTATGGATGGAGCTTTACTGTTTCCTTCAGTTACACTGGTGGCAGAAAAGTACTCTCGGGAGACCTGTTCAGCATTCTTAATTGTATTCCAAAGAATATACAGAAGGTACCTAGAGTTCAAACCAATTTCCTTTATGGAAGTCACAAATCTGTGTATCAAAGCACAAATTAAATTGAATGAAATGCTTCATATTTGTACTGGTTTGGGTTAGGACAGAGTTCAATCTCTCCAAGGTAACTTGCATGGAACTGTATTTTAGAGAAGAGTGTTGCTAATACAGAGGTTTCTTTGTTAGTGCTGAGCACAGCTTACACAGCATCAAGGCCTTTTCTGCTCCTCAAACTGTACCACCAACAAGCAGACTGGGTTGCACAAGGAGTTGTGCGGGGACATGTCTGGGATGGCTAACCCAAATGACCCAAGGGATATTCCAGACAATACCATAAAATCCCAGAATTGTTTGGATTAGAAGGGGCCTTAAAGATCATCTCGTTCCACCCCTTGCCATGGGCAAGGATGCCTTCCCCTAGACCAGGTGGCTCCAAGCCTCATGCAACTTGGTGTAGGTGCTTTCTAGATAAAGCTGGGGAAGTAGGAGGAAGAGGAGGGGCATGTGAGGCCTTACATCATTTACATTCCTAAGCCACTGTTTCACATGATGGAGGCTTGCTCTCCTGGGGATGGCTGAACACTTGCCTGTCCATAGGAAGCGGGGAATGAATTCTTTGGTTTACTGTGCTTGTGTGCATGGCTTTTGCTTTCCCTATTGAACTGTCTTTATCTCAACCCATGAAATTTTCTCACTTTTTACCCTTCTGATTCTCTCCACCGTCCCAGTGGAGGAGGAGTAAGCAACAGTGAGGGGCTGAGTTGCCAGATGGGATTAAACGATGAAAATTTCATAAGAGGAACTTAAAGTACTGAAGAATCAGTGCAAAAAACATTAGTTGTTGCTTATTTTCTTTGTCTTCTTCAAATTCACCTCCCAATTTCACTGCCCTGTACAGAGCTCCTCAAAGGATGATTTACCAGTCCTCAAGACTCAAAGACAGGTTGACAGCACTGCTCATTGATGCTAAATAAAAGCAGAAAAGCTTTTAGCTTTCTCCTGGCTAGATACAACACTGATTTACACCAATATTTACAAGGCAGAAATACATTTGTTATAGTCTTCTCATATTACTAAAATTTTATGTTGCCTAGTATTGATCTCAGACACAATGTCCATGACGAAACAATGGCAAACTGTTTTCAAAGCAGAGCCTTTAATTTCTGCACACCTTCTGGTCAGAGCTGAGATACACTGATCTCCTGGCAGCCAGATGGGGAAAAGGTTTATGCCATCAAAATGCTTGTTCCCCTTCTTGCTCCACTATTCTCACTTCAGCCCCAAGGCCAACTTCATTGTACTGGGAAACTTCAGGTCAAGCTGACCCAACCCTAATGCAGCAAAACAATTTTCTTTTGACCAGATTAGCTTTCTGCAATGGAAAAGGTAAATGGTTTGCTATGTAATATGGCGTGAAAGAGCTACTGGAGAGGTAGGAACATGTATACAGGCATGGAACATGCCCTCTTCAATGGAACTAAGCTGTTAATTCAACTGAAACCATAACATGAAACCTCAGCTTGCAAATGCAAGTATAACTTTCTGTCACTTACTTGAATCCATTCCTGTTCCATCATCCAAAAAACATAGCATGAATCCACCTCGCAGGTCCTCTCGTCGCTCTGCAAGGGAAGACTTACTCACTGCTCCCATAAGCAGAAGTTAAAAGTTCCACAAAATGGGATCTGTGTTAACAACCAAAGTAACACAACAAATGGGACTTTTACACCTGCAATATGACTAAGCTGTAAGAAAGAACACCAGATTTTTGTTACAGAATGACTAATCACTTCTGTACTACAAAACTGTGTTGTGTCAGTGTAGTTTTTTAGCATCCATTAAAAACAGTGACTTCACTGTGATTTCGCCTGACCTTAGGTGAAGGTTGACTTAATTGCTTCCCAAAGATATTTGTAAAAGGTACCCCTTTTTGAAAGACAACAGGCACTATAGCACAGAAGAAATGGTAGAACAATAGAATTATTCCAGTTGGAAAAGACCCTTAAGATCATCATGTCCAACCACAAATGTAACCCAGCTGAGTTCACTAAACCAGGTCTCAAAAAACACTAGATCTAGACATTTTTGAAATATGGGTAGACAGTGACTCCCCCACTGCCCTGGGCAGCCTGTTCCAGTGTATGACTACACTTTCAGTGAAGAAATTTTCCCGAATATCCAATCTAAACTTCTGGCACAACTTGAGGCTGTTTCCTCTTGTTCCTGTCACTTGTTACCTGGAAGAAGAACCCAACCCCCACCTGGCTGCCCCCTCCTGTCAGAGAGCTATAAGAGTAATAAGACCCCCTGAGCCTCCTTTTTTCCAGGCTGACTCCCCCCAGCTTCCTTAGCCACTTCTCACCAGACTTGTGCTTCAGCCCCTTCTTCAGCTCCCTTACCCTTCTCTGGACATGCTCCTGCCTCTCAATGTCTTTCTTGTCTTTCTTGTCTGGAGCAGATCAGTACCAACCCCAGGTTGCATAAGCACCCTTGCTCTTATTCTATCAAGGACAACAGACATTTGCAGCCTAAATCCAAGGTATCTACTGACTTAATTGCTGACATGCAAGGAAGCAGCAGGAGTGACTTACCTGTATAAATGTCTATTCTCGTGGCATCTGCATCTCTACAAAAAAATAAAACCACAACTATTATTCAAATGTTAAACGGAAATGAAGCTAAAAATCCAGGCATACAAAAGCATTTCCAAAAATAACTTGGCTGCACAGATCAAAGTCCACAGAGGCCTCAGAGTCATCACTGACAGAAAACGTTTTCCTGCTTTATGTCTATTTGAACCTAAACTCGAGCATAAGACATTGCTGGCACACAAACAATTCTGGTGACAGTAAGTAGCACTGGCATTCTAAGAATTCTGGGACTGGGATTGGGAATCAAATGAGTACACGCTTATGAGCTCCCTCCTGTACAAAGGAAACAATGCCTATAATTTTTCTGTCAAGCTGCCTACAAAAGGTTTAGTAACTCCACATAAAGCTTCATCCCAATACATTTAAAGATTGTTACAGGAAACTGTCATTACAAGATCACTGAAGTGAGGCCCTTCACACATGGCATCCTCCTTTTTATCTGAAAGTACAGCATGTACAGCACTACTTCCCTCTTCTCAAACCAACCTTGGTTTGCTGACTAGATGCCTGGAGCTGTAGCGCTGTAACAAAACCCCACTTGGCAAATGCCACAGCCACTTTGTTTCAATTTAGTACCTCCTGCCCAGCCAAGCTACAGTCTTCCTAGAAGACAACCTCTCTACAAGCCAGAGGGGAACCAAGAGGTGAAGGGAAAACCACCCTCAAAGACCCTATTTTTTATTACTTGTAGCAACACCGAACACAGCACCAGCTCACTAAGGCTTGCTCGAACACACACACACACAGAGCTGATTCTCTAAACAGAAGCTTTCCAGCTCAAAAATGCCCCAGTTTCAGCACCTTACATCACAAAATGCACACTGTGACAAATCACATTTGAGAGAAAACAATCCTAAAATACTTCCACAGTGTTTCATGAAAGTACTTCCTGCAGCTCAAGAGAAAAGCATGCAAAGCTTGGGAGGCTGCTACAGCAGGGATTCCCCACACACCCAAGAGAGGTGACCCAACACCTGCAATTTCCAAAGACAGTATCTCCTCAAGCGTCAAAATTCCTTTAGCTGTTCTTGCTCTATTTTTCAGCATCCCACTTCTGATTTGATTTTCATGTTTATTGTCATGTTTGATACTATGACTATTTAGATACCAGAAGAGTCACAGCTCCGGTAATATTTTAGCCATTTCTTTACACAGAAAGGCACACTGTTTTTTTCTTTAAATCTTTCTTGTGTCTGCTATCAATTTACTTTACAATATGAGTTGTTTCAGGATTCATTCAAACCTGTCTTTCCAGGAATAATTTTTTTTTTTAGGAGCTTGATGTGCCAGTGTAAGAGGAGCAAGTGAAATATTCATACTGAATTGCAGCACTGTCTTCTATTTTCTTGTAAAATCTACTAGAAGTGAAAATTGCTTAAGATCAACTAATACATAGGTGAATTAAATCTTAACCAAAGTTACCTCAGGAATTAGGTAGCCTCAGGTACATACCTGGCGTTATCTACAAGTTCAGCAAGGGCACCAAACAGGAACTCATGGGTAGTTCTGCAATGAAACACAGAAGTCAGCAGAATTACATCAACACTTGAAAAAAGAGAGACCTTTAAATAAATGAGAATCTCAACTACATTTTAAATAAATCTAGTCAAATGGGTACAACACTATGGTCTGGCTGACAGCAGACTAGGAATGAGTGATTTCTGTCTGCTAGAGGCAGCCATGCAGCAGCCAGTCTGCTCCAAACTGCAGCTCACTATGGTCTAAAACATATCACAGCTACACAGACACGATACAGAACATGATGATCCAATGAACCAGCCTATGACCCAGTCAACAGTTCATGGAAATCCTTATTCACCACACTGACAGATCTTTTCACAGCAACTAAATACTGCTTATAAGTAAATATGGCCAGATGAGGATTATCATAGAATCACAGAACATTTTGAGTTGGAAGGGACCTTAAAGCTCATTTCATTCCAATCCTCCTGCCATGGGTAGGGACACCTTGCTCCAAGCCCTGTCCAACCCAGCCTTGAACACTTCTGGGGATGCGGTAGCCACAGCCACTCTGGGCAACAAGCCATGAACAATATTATGAACAAGGTGTGTCTCCCCCCTGCACACAGTCCCATGGCAGAAGTTATTTGTGACAGAAAAAAGCTTCCAGATCCTGACTAACATCCAGCAGATGCAACTGCTTCTAATCCTGAGAAAGACTCCATTGTACCATGCCACCTTCATAACTTAATGCTAAAATCGTGAACCCAGCTATTACTTCAGCACAGTCTCGAGAGACATGTTTAGTTTCCATCCTCTTAACTGCCACCTCTTATAAGCAGCTCCCATTTGGAAGCCATTAGTTATATGCCTCAACATTGAAAGAATTGTGCCCAAGCTGACAACCTAACTTCAAAATCTAACAGTTATTTCAAACATAGATGAGCCACATCCACCATAATGTTAACAACAAAGACGTGGAGAAACAGTTGATGGGATTTGCTCCTCTAGGTTGTTCAATGAAGAGACCAAGACCTCGGAAACTAGTTTTATCAACATGTTTCAGTTTGCACAAAACCTTCACGTATAACCTGTTCTCACCACTACACAAAAAGACCAACAGGTGACCAAAGAGAAGACATTTGTTCATATTTTCAGCTTTCCAAGAACAGACACATAGCTACTTCCCACACATAAAATATATAGCTGTCCACATTGTTAATAACCACAAAAGAAGCTTCCAATACCCATCTTCAGCATGCCCACACTGAACCATCAACACAGCTCCAGTCAGAGGAAAACACATCAAACCTTCAAAGTTATCACTAAAACCACAACAAAGATTTCCGTATCTTCACTGACCCACAAAGATAAGATCAATGAGAACTGTGTTTAGAAAACTATCTACAAATCAGAAAGCTTCCATAGAAACACAATCTCAGTGTTCCTTCCTTTGAACAGGATTTCCTGCTGTCCTGGTTTCAGCAGGGATAGAGTTAATTTTCTTCTCAGTAGGTGTTACAGAGTTATGTTTTGGATTTAGTGTGAGAATAAGGTTGATAACACACCCATGTCTGGTGGCAAGCCATGCATACCCTAAGTCAAGGACTTTTGGGTGTCCTACGCTAGTCAGCTATACAAGAAGCTGGGAGGGGATGGCTAGGGCAGCTGACCCAAACCAGCCAGAGAAATGTTCTGTACCACAGAATGTTCTGCTCAGTTACAGTTCCTACAGGGGAGCTGGCCAGTAAGGGGACAGGTTGGGCATGGGTCAGTGGGTGCTGAGCAATTCTACTGAGAATCACTTGACTTTTGGGGCTTATTCCTCTTTCTCTTTTTCCTATTATTATCGTATCTTTCTTCACTCCAATTTTTGAACTGTTCTTATCTCAGCCCATGGGTTTTAGCCTTGTTTGCTTCCACATCCCACTGGGGAGAAGACTGAGCAGCTACATAAGACTAAAGATTTTAAGTGTTCTCTTGAGTTTACAAGTGTCTATTCAGCTCCACAGGTCAACATCACAGAAGTTTATTTAGGAAGTAATCCATAAGCAAATGGATGCTTCAGCACTAGTAACTATGCTTCCTGAGCACCTTTTACTCCACAATTTTAGGAATACTTCAAAGAAAAGATGCAAGTAAGAGAAATAAGGATTTCCAAAGAAAGATGCTAGAACAAAACAACTGATAACACAGCTACAGATGGTAAGAAAGGCAAAACATAACATCTCCACATAGCCCAACACTGTACTGATCTCAACCATCTCCCAAAACTACTTCTTGTGCTGACACAAGCAAAGGGAAACCGTGTTACAAGCCAATTAAATTCACTCCAGCTATTTATCACTAACAGAAATGAATATACAACTTCTAAGTAGACTTCAAAGTCTTCTACTCAATTTATGAATTTGAACACACTTGTCAATATCTAACTAATGTCCCATGAAGTGCTTTGGCCTGAGTCAATCAACTAATCTCAAACAAATCCCATGGTTTTCCCTTACAGTCCAAAGTGCCTGAAATACTTCACATCCATCATGATCAACCAGTGACCATTTCTCACACCTCCCCAAAAAAAGTTTGGGATTATTTTATTTGCAAAACAACTACAAAAAACCAAGGCAAGTTGTTGGGAAAATGAAGTCCATCACACTTTGCAAGTAACTTGCAAACACGGTGAGTTTATAGGCATCATCAGAGGCAACAACAACCTGCATCAAAGCATCCAAAATGCAACTATTACTACCACACAATGGGTGAAACAATGTAGAGAAGGGAGGAAAGTATCATCAAAATCCATAGTCTCAACAACAGCCCATCTGCCTGGATCATCCCACAATGTGCATCTTCCACTTGAGCTCCATGCAGAGCTGGAGGCTTGACAATGAACAGAACAGGCAAGTCCAACACTGGCAATTTATTGAAACATAGGAGCAAAAGGTCAAGTTAGACAGCGCTAAAATACAACCAACTTCAAACACCTCTACAAAGAATCATTTGGAGTAATGTCCCAAGGGAAGAAAAGCTTGTTTTGTGAGCAGTTCCTACAGGAACCTCCTGCTTGAACCTAGTCAGACTCCAGACCCTGCAGACAAGTACCTAATTACTAATGAGAGACTTGAGACTTCACTATTGTTCTGGAGGGTACATCTGGAAAATGTTTCATTTTGGCACATGAGTGAGGAACAACAGACATTCTCTAAGTAATGCAATCTGTTTCAGGCCAAAACAGACAAAAAACACAAGAGGAGGGAATTTGGGGGGTAGGGAGATACTTGGTCTGTTGGTCTCTTATTACTAGTTTTCCTCAAGTCCATCGTTTAGTCATCTTGAAGTCTATTTGAGTGACCTTCTTCCACTCCAGGAAGAAGCTCCCTCAATTCACCAGGACAATTCTAGTTACACAACACTCAAGTTACAAGCTAAAGGCTACCTATTGCTAGAAGACAATTTCAGGTCCTCAACTTTTAACAAACTCCTTCAATTTTTTATTATAAATATTCAAAATATGCAAATACAAATTGGCTGGTCTCATATTTTTGGCATCATCTCAATAAATAACTTTGGAAGTATCTTAATGTAACAGCATTTAATTGTTAAGGCAAACCAATGTGAAGGAAAGTAGGTGACTCTGGAAAGTCATAAAACAATGCACATGTAATTGTCATGTGCTTTTGCATACTGATTTTCATTCTAGGATCTAAAAGAACTTTAACACAGAAGTATAAGGGTTATAATAGACCTTTTAAAGGTCATCTAGTCCAGCCTCCAGCCATGGGTAGGAACACTTTCCACTAGGCCGGGTTGCTCCAAGCACCATCCAACCTGACCTTGGATACTTTGAGGGATGGGGCATCACCACTTCACAGTCTTCCTTAAATCTAGTCTGAATCTACACTCTTAAGTTAAAGCCATAACCCTGTGCCTAATCATTACAGAATCATTATTACTGAAAAGTCTGTCTCCTCTCAACTACTCATCAAGCAAAACACTTGGAAAAGCACAGTGATATACAGCAACTGAATCAAATCACGTAGATGCTGGAGGCTCAACTCAATGTGCCATCATACATGTAAGCATTAAGTGGCTATTGGAAAGATCGGCTGAAGGTCCTCAAGGTCAGGGACCTGATCAACTGTCTCCTGTAAAGTACTTCAGACCGAACGCTCTAAGTTAGACATACAGAAACTTTTCTGAAAGGTCTTAAAAAGGAAAAAAAAAACAACATGGCTTTCTTCTGCACCCTAACAGCCAGGTATCTGGTCTTTCACTGCAATTTAAAGAATTTCTACCTCAACTATGAGAACACCCTTAGCGCTGAACTAAAATTTATCTAAGATGGGATGGTGTTCCTCAGCAAGAGAGAACAGTCCAAAAGCTCAGTCTCCTCTATCAAATCCCTATGTTTGCCTTGGGTTGATTTGGGTATTTGCTCTTTCTCTTCTTTGTTCATTCTTTTTACTGGAGGAGCAGGATACATTGTTTGCTTTGTGTTAGTTTGGTGCTTTGTTTTTATAATGACTTCCATTACTCCCATTGCCATTCTTAGAGAAGCATTTGACTTATGCACTGATTCCTAAAACCTCAAAAGGCTCTTTGTTCACAATGGACAAGAGGCTCTGGCTTATCCAAGCATTAGCTTCCAGCTCTTCCCAAGAATTCGGTAATGCAGGTATAACTGTAGACATGCAGCACACCACAAGCAGACAGCAGCATAAGCACAACCGCAATATGAAGTAGCTTTAATATACTTGAGAGCAGCAGCAACAATTCAGTCTTTTCTACAGCACAGGCTTTATCTTCTTATGAAGATGGACAGAGTTCTGGAGCTCTGCAGCAAACACAGTCTGCTGACAGAGCACTACAATCATCTGCATGGTCTTCTAATCCATAAAAATCATCTTCTGGAGCTGGACATGAGAATTTCACAAATCAAAAACAGCACCACAGCATGACCCAGTATTGTCCATCTTCAGGCACCAGACTGTTCACTCCATATGCAACTGCTACTAGCCAAGCTAGAGAGCAGACCCAAATGTGACATGAAGCCATTATTAGGTTTATTCCCCTGTTCAAAGCCCATTACTTTCCTGATTCTGAAAATAAATGGATTGCAATGGCCTTGGTGCATGTAAGTGAGATTAGTCTTAACTGCTCTTGCGGATGTATCTCATTACCAACAGAACCAGACAAAAATACTTAGAAACCAAGTTGCCCATGTTTCTATGCCATCTTTGGACTGCTGCAGACTGCTGTGATCCTCCACACATTGAAAAGGGAAACAAAAAGATAAACTTGCACTTTATTTGTTCTTCAATTGATGGATAACAGTAAGTCAACACTTCCACAGAACATCAGCAGACAATCTTATGTCGGTGACCAGCTGATCAAAATGAAGCAATGCCAAGTGGTTCCACAGAGTTCTTCCAGTTTGGGCAGAACAAGCTCTTTCATCTCCTCTATACATGGCATTACATATACGTGGTGTAGGAGCAGCAGGCAGTGGTTGATGGGTGCCTGACCCTGCTAAGCGCAACTTCCTGATGGCGCTTCCTAGACATACGCTCAGAAGAAACTCATTTTAAAAAATGGCTTTGCCTCTTCTTCAAGAGGTGTTATTCTGGGGGATTCACTGGCGACATGCAAAAAACTGACTGGAAAAAGAGTATCATAATCCTGTTAAAAATAAACCTGCAAAACACTCAGTCACAAACAAAGCCAGATGCTGCAGAGGGATGGTGGCCGGCATGGCAGCGCACACACACTGCTCTGCAGAGGTCCGGCCGTGCGGGTATGGTTGCCCAATGGGCTTCCCCTTTCCTCCCGGCGACTCTTGTCCCCACACACCGGCTCTCTGAGACCCGCGGACCTGCCCACGGTACAACAGCCGGTCCCCAGAGGGACCACGAGGCACTCGGGCCGGGGGCTGGTCAGCCCCACCGGCCTGCGTGGCTTGGGCCAGGGCCATCGCACTGAGCCGGTGCCCGCAGCTGGCCAGGTGCCGCGGGCCCGCCCCACCTCAGCCAGTACTCACGAGTTGGTGTGCAGGTATTCGAAGGTAAGCTGGGCTCGGTTCAGGCTGCTGTAATTACCCAGGGACATGGCGGCACTGGCCGCCATCGGGCCGGGGCCCGCGCCGCATGCACCGGCGGCCGCGCGCGCCTCGAGCCCTCCCCGCCCCCTGCCGGTCACGGTCCCCTCCGGGTGAGCAGCTGGCACTGCGCTGCACTTCGTTGTGCCGCGCCCCGCCGCCCCCTCGCGGTACAGTGCGGTACGGTGCGGTACGGTGCGGTACGGTGCGGTGCGGTGCGGTGCGGTGCGGATGCGGATGCGGGT